GGAAAATCAGCAACCATCCAGACTTGGCAGACCACACATTGCGCTCAAGCGAGGCGGACTACGGTGATGCCGAGCGGTCTGGCAAGATGAAGGTTCTGAAGGGGTTGCTTGAGGTTTGGAGAGATACTGGCCACAAGACCCTGCTTTTTACCCAGGGCCGTCTGATGCTAGACATCATTGAGAAATTCCTGGGGGTGCTGGGTGGATTCAATTACCGCCGAATGGACGGGACTACTCCGATCAAGGAGCGCCAGAATATGGTTGACAATTTCAACAATGACCCCGACATCCACGTTTTCTTACTCACCACCCGTGTCGGCGGGATCGGAGTGAATCTGACAGGTGCTGACCGTGTCATTATCTTCGATCCTGACTGGAACCCATCGACTGACTTGCAGGCGCGAGAGCGTGCATGGCGTCTGGGCCAAAAGCGTGATGTTACTATCTTCCGCTTGATGACCAAAGGCACCATCGAAGAGAAGATCTATCATCGGCAGATCTTTAAGCAATTCTTGACCAACAAAATCACCCGTGATCCTCATCAACGAGAAGGTTTCCAGCTGAGTGATCTTTATGATCTGTTCACTCTGACGGATGAAAATGACGACGAGTTGGAGACGACCAAACTCTTCAAAAACGCTGAAGTCACATATCAGGAAGAAGGTAAAGATGCCCATGGCAGCAAGAGTAATCCTGCGCCACCTCCTAAGGCGGAAGACGACATCAACGACATCCATGGTATCGCCAAGGTCGAAGACTTCCAAAACACCGCCGAAGAGGAAAAGAATGCCAAAACCTCCGAAGACCGCATTATGCACGGCATCTTCGCTCGTTCTGGCGTCCACTCTGCAGTCCAGCACGACCAGATTGTAAATGGCAAACGGGTCCTACGCGCAGACCCTAAGATGATCGAAGCTGAAGCTCGCCGGGTCGCCAACGAAGCCGCCGAAGAGCTCCGCAAAGCTGAAGAAACCGCCCGGGCACTCCCCATTGGACTACCCACCTGGACAGGCCGTTTTGGGATGGGCGGCCGCGACGATCCACGAGCTGGTGGTAGCTCAGCGCGCCCTTCTGGGGCAGGACCCTCATCCTCGGACCTGTTGGCTAGGCTCAACCCTGCTGCTGCCGCAGCTGCTGGACAAACAGACAGTGGCTCCGATAGTCCATCAGCACGTATGCCGCGCGGCAAAGATTTCATGCCCTTGATCCGTGATTACCTTGCCTCTCAGCGTGGGCCCACTCTGTCGCAGTCCATTGTACACCATTTCAACCATTACTGCTCTAATCCGCAGCGTGTTGCTGAGTTTCAGGAGTCGTTAAAGAAGGTCGCGACACTTCAGCATGGTCGTGATCGTCGGGGTAGGTGGACTCTGAAGCCTGAATTTGCCCGGAATGCCAATAATCGGGGCCGATGAGGGGAGCTTGTAAAGAAGCAGGTGGACTAAGGGCATTCCCGACGAGGCAGAAATTGAACAGGCTATCTTTCTTCCTACCTCGGGGATGTTCATGTACGATAGTGAGTTTCACGAGATCATGAATGACAATGGCAATGCCAATACCCTCTATGCGATTGCACAGTCAGAACCACGAAATAAATGCATAAGTACATTGTATTACATACTCCATAACTTGTAGATGATATCCACTAGCCACATGCGTTTATATACAGTGTCCACGATGTGTGCCAAGTATGAAAGAACATGCCTATATTTCGGTACCTCATATGCCCCGTAACTTATCAAAGAAAGGGGCCGGAGATTTTAATAAATTCCACCAATCCTCAACTTCAATGTTTTCAGTGGGCCATGTTCTATTTCTGGCGGGATAGTGTATCAATGATGCAAAAAATTATAGAAGCGAGGATACACCGACCCAAATAGGCAAGAGATTTTCGTTTGTACAAAGTAGAGTCGCAACAACCCGATATTCATAAACAAGTCAGACAGGATTCAGGGGAAAGGCTCCACGGGATCTTGGCGTTCGTTGTTTGTCGACTTCTTTTTCTTTGGTGGCAAAGGGGTTTTGATATGATCCTTCAGGTTTTTTTTTTCTTTTTGGTAATCTCATTTATGAAACGAAACTCATCTTATATCATTGTGAAACCCAATCCTAGGGGTAAGATTATGTCATTGATGTCACGAATCCTTGCCTTAGGTGCTTCAATTAATGGATAGAAGGCGTACCAGTGGGTATGATCTACACTCGATCACAATAATGACTGGCTCGGATGTTATAGCTAGTCAGTCACCCACTTAGTGACTTCCAGGATGTCGATTGTAATCACCATCCGGTGGGTTAGTCCTTTCGTTTACCCCATACACATTCTGATACGGCAGTATGGATCAAGTGAGATCCTGGAGGCCTAAGGCCACCAGTACCTTGCATGCCGCAAAGAAAAACAAAGGAAAGAAGAATAATAGCGACATTGCTACAGTACAAAGTCGAAAAGTTGAACCAAAAAAGTTGAGTAACAATCAGCTGACAGTTCTAGCGATGCTTCACCGACAACGACTTCTATTTTGATCTCAAGGATACCTAGGGAGGACCCGGATCAGCGTTGGACACTTGAATCAGGCCTCTACTCCACCGTGGAAACATGTGTTCATCGACTCCCATGGATATTGAAAAGCATATAAATGCGTCACTTCCCCGTCAAAATCCTACCCCTCTCTTGGAAATCATATAGCAATCGAAACTCTTCAACCTACCCTTTAGCTTGAATTCCTCCTCAACCCAACTTCTTCACCCACCACCCAAAATGAAGTTCTTCGCCACCGTCGCTCTCCTAGCCACCGCTGTGGCCGCCGCCCCATCCCAGAGGCTCTTCAACCTGAAGACCTCCGGCGCCAGCAACAGCTCCCACAACGACCTGTTCCTCTCCGTCGGCCATGGCCTGATCAGCGATCCACTCAACAGCGAAGCCATCTTCTCTGGTGCCCCGGCCAGCCGCGCCGCCGCCTTCTCCTTCGTCAACGGCACCATTGTCTTGGATACTGAGACTAAGGCCCCCTGGGTTCTGGACCTGATCAACGTAAAAGGTAAGATAAGCCCTAGCCTGCTATTGGATCTGACTGTTTCCCAAACCCGGAATACTAACGACATTGGTACTATATAGGCGTCCGCAAGGAGCGTGCCCAGATTAGTGTCAACCCTACTCGCGGTTCCAAGGGCTTCTCTGTCGACCGCCACGGCGTCCAGGGACCCAGTGAGACCTGGGACGGATGGTTGTGTAAGTTCTTACTAACCCCCTTTTCCAAGGCTACATGATCGTGGCGAGTACAAATGGCTGACTCCTTTTTTCTAGGGTGCCCCGCCGACGAGGAGGCTGGCCAGTTGTTCCCCAACTTGCACTTCCTCAGCAAGACTGTCCAGGAGCCTGCTCTCCCCGCTGGATGTGACAAGATCCAGCTCAATGCTGTTCCCAAGAGCTCTGCTTAGAGGGGTTTTTTGGTTTTTGGATTTTATCTCGTAGCGAACATCAGATTGTGAGACGTGCTTTCTAGTTTCTGTGTTCTCTTCGAAATTCGGAGCTTCTACTAGACTTTCATTCCAGCATATTTCAGCGTACAAGTCAGGCTTAATTGATAATACCTTGATTGTTCTACCGGTTACTATTTTTTTTTAAAGATCATGGATGTCCTATGAAATGCTCTGATATAAACTTCTTCTCACAGCATACGAATCCTCATCGGCGCCACATCCAGTCTATTCTTTTGCATCCTATAAACAATGAAAGAGAATACAATAGTTCTCCACATCCCTCAATATTCTCCGTTCCATGCCTAAATTCCCAACAGTCTGCTGGTGCCCATGACTTATGGTTAGATTGCCACCCCCACGTTTGGGGATCTTCTTGGGCGGAACCAAGAAATGCCCAACCTTGGGTACCAGCAGCTGGGTGGCAATAGGAGTTCATGTAATTCGACTTAAGTGGTTGTTATTGTATGTGTGACGGTTTATGCCATGGCTGCAATCACACATTTGTTCCTGTAGTTACGTTCCGGTACTCCATAGTAGAGCTAGCAGAAATATGCCCCTGAGTATTAAGGGCGATACATAGTCTTTCTGTGGTTTTGTTGTGTATCTATACTATGTCATGGTTTACGGGCGGCCACTCATCATACTAATCTGGAGTTTGAAGTCTTGGGATGATGGCGGAATATTGGCAAAATTCAGGGATAAGTGATAAATTGATGATTTAGGGCAAATAGTATTATCCCTAGGGTTTTATTTGAGGTATATGGTATATTGTCCTCATGAAACTGAAGTATATATTGCATGGACCCCCGGGTTTTAGTTTGATGTGATGTATATCACTTGATATAGAGATCGCTGATATAATTCAAGGATCTTTGTACTCATTGAGAGGTAGATATATACCGAAAGCAACCTTTGGCTCTGTTACATACGTTCAGAGCCTAAACCTTTGCGTCGCCCAGTCTGAAGCATGAACTTGAACTTCATACACCGAGTTATGATAGTCAATAAATCATCTGATAGTCAAAAAGGCGTGAAATAGTGGTCAGCCACTATAAATAGCCGATGTCTCACAAATCTGATAGCCACTACCTATTTGGGCTTAGCCCCGCAATACAGCTCAAACATCGCATCTTCTCTTTCTTTCTGGTTTTTTTCCCCCTCTCTCTAATTATCTGGGAAGACACTCGTTTACTGTTCGTCTTTGAAGCTATTTACAATCGTTTCTCCGGATCAAAAATCTACATTCCCGAGATCTACGTGTTTTGGCGCCTAGATTGGTTAGGGAGATTAATAACATCTGCACTCCACGTCCTTGTGATCGTCCTTCCGTAGCAACCGAAATTGCTTGGTACGGACACCGAATCGATAAGCCTGTTTTGACAAAGGAGGCCTTTTTTATTTTGACAAGTCACACCTGATTGTGCAAGGGGCGTGATCAGTCTAGCCCACCTTTCAGCCCAAGGAGTAACACCTCGGTCGCCTGATTTTTGAAACTCCCGATAATCTCTCCAAACTTCGACATGCGGTGTTTTATTTTGACCGTGCTCTGCACCATCCTGTTGCTGGGGACGATATCATCGGCTTGGCCATGGCGGCCCTATGGAGCACTTCTGGGTGCCTCCTTGGATAAGCGAGCAGGTAAATCAGGACTCTTATCATACTGTTGTACTCGATACTGACTTGAGATTCAGACACCACAGATGCAACAACCGCTCAAACCTCTGAATCTACCACGGAAGCCTCCACAGCCCCCAAGACTTCTACCGGAACCACCACCGGAACAAACACCGATACCAACACCGACACCAACACCGACACCAAAACAGGCACTGCAACCGATTCCGGGACGACCGGCACAGCAACTGGCACGAAGACGGGAAAAAGCAAGACTACCGCCACATCCTCAATCTCCATTGACCCTGCTGCCGCTGCTGGCGGTGTGTCCATGATCACCCCCGTTTCCTCGTCCACGACCTACTACAAGATCGGCGAGGACGTGACATTTGTGTGGAACTACACCTCCCTGTCGGTCACGCCATCTGCAGTCAACGTCGTGGCTTCATGCAGTCTCAACTCGATGACATACACGCTCAGCTCCAACATGAGCGTGAAGCAAACCGGAAGCGTTGTGTGGGATACCGGAAAGTACCAGAAGTCGGCTACCATTCCGTTGCTTACCGCATCGTATACTCTGATCGTCTACGATGCTAGCAAGGACATCGACGACACCGCGAGCGCAGGATACTTGAGCTCGCAGAACGGTGGTTACGTCTTCGGGATGTACACCCCCCAGCCTTACACCCCACTTAATCGTGAGCATTTAAACCAACCATCCTTTCTCAAATTGACTGCTAACCTTTGTCCAGAATTCAAGTGTGCCACCTGCAGTGGCGCCCTGTCCGAAACCAGTCGCCTGGCCATCAAATTTACCGTCGGCATGGCCGTGATCACCTTCGCTTCGTTCACCTGGTTTGCGGGCAGCGCTGGCGTTCTCACCACGTGAAAAGCACTCACTCGGTGGACTCGCATTGACTTATCATGAACATATTTTTTCCATTTTGGGGCGTTGCATTGTTGAAGCGATCTGGATTCACGATAATAGCAAGAAAGCGGCGTTGCGCGATACTTTTTATTTATATTTGTATACTTTTTGCATTTTATCCTTTGTCTTATCTGTTGATTTTATAATAATAAGCGGTCATGGTCAATTGCTGATTCCATTTTTTTCTTGTATTTTCGGCTTTTGCATACAAAATAAAACCCTCCTCGATCTCAAGTTTAGATTTTTCCCATCGCAGTTTCAATGACGGGGTTCTCATCGAGGCCTCACTAACCCTCTCTTCTTTTCAGCTCGCTCTCACGACGGCGGCGACCCTCGAGGTAGATGAGGTTGACCTTCTGCGCTCCCATGATCCAGTCATATTCAAGGTGACTGTTATCTGCTGAACGGCCGATTTGATCGGGCGCGAAGGAGTTTGCAAGGCCGGCCGCGTGATAGTCGGCAGCTCCTTGCAACAGCTTCTTATTCTGGCTGGTCATAATATCGGTATTAAATGGCTGATCCAAAGTCTTTTGCAGCGCTTCCCTTTCATCTCTAGTTCTGGCTATAATCCCATTGTGGTTCCAGTCTTTGGGGAATCTGCGCCTCCGGCGTTAAGGCTGGATGTCGGGTTTTGCTGATGGGCGTTAGTATTGGTCTGGAAGCTCACCCCCTGCTGGTAGTCACCGCTCTGCTGGTGGAAATTGGCTAGCTGGCTGTTCAGCGGGTCTGGATCCATTACTTCCTGAGGTGAAAGGCTTGATGGGGATGGGTATCGGGTTGCGGGTGGATGTTACCCTCATTGTTGAATTGTGTGAGGCATGGGTGTTTGGGCGGAAAAACTTGGGTAATTAATACCTTCCTGGTTGAAGTTGCCGAGGTCGTTGTTGAATGACTCGAGAGACATAGGTGCCTGGGGGAAAAAGTATGGGTATTGGATGCCGGCTTGCTGGTTGACATTGCGTCGATTAAAGGAGTAGGCTTCCTCGGGAACACTCTCTTTGTTGAGGACATCGAATGGTTGGACGAAGGCTTGCTGAAGATGGAAGCCTTGGTTAGGGACACCAAATTGCTGCATCATACCCTGCTGACCCATAGTGCCGTGATTACCTTGGTTATCGGCCTGGTATTCTTCATCGCACATGAAGGGCATGGTTTGCGGTGAATTGGGTCGCCGGTGGTAGAAACCATTCTGCGGGTAGAGGTTGCCCGACTGGCTGTCAGGGCTTTGCTGGTGGACATTGCATTGCTGATGAACATTGCAGGGATGTGAAGCATTACCTTGATGACCAGCATATCCTGGAATGAAAGACATGATGGGAAGGTGTTGATGTTGATTGGAGGCTTACTGTTGATGGGAAGATTGTTGTAGTGGAATTTATTTTGCGAGAATCGCTCTGGCGATGGGAAGCCTTCTGAGGAGTATAAGGAGTATGGCTTTGATTGGGAATCATGACTTCCTCGGTAGTATGTTCTCGATTGTCTCCCATTAGCCCTGGTGGTTTGCAGCCATGCTTTCCTCGTTTGGATCTTGCTGATTCTCCTTCTCAGACCTATTCTTCCTCTTTGGGGGCCCTTGTGTCGGGGTCATGCCTCCCTCGTTGATATCTGCCTCGACCTTCTTAGCCTTGATATTACTACTAGCGGGATCTGCACCCTCGGTACTGATTTTTCGTACGACATGTGGAGGCGGATTCTTGCCCTGCCGCTTCACATCTCATTGCTGAGAGACATTGTCTTGTTGGATATTACCTTCGTGAGAGATTGCAGATAACCAGTGCCATGGTGGTGGGACTTTTATGCCTCGTCCCACTTGAAGATCATGTTTTCCGGTGAATCAACTGGCTCACGATTGCCACGGCCTTGGTGCTGAGGCCGGGCGCGGTCTTGTTGGTGTGGGTTATCTTGATTGCGATCTATTGGCCGATGGTTGGGGTTCTAGCCCAACAACTTGATAGAACCACTGCGTTGAAGGGTTCTCTGATGAGGGTGTCACTTATTGCGATGATATGCAAGTTCAATATGAAAGCAACAAGTCAGGATCGAGACATATTTGGAACCGTGAAGGGTTCATCATTTGCTTCCTCGCCACGCATTGCTTAGTCGTTGCCTATAGGATCTAGAATCTATAATCCCATCCATGGATATCCAAAGGGCGTCCGCAAGGGTTTACCTGACTACATGGATGTGTATATGATAACAAAAATATCAAAAAATATCAAAAACATGTATACTTTTTTGTTGTCTGAACTGAAATATACTATGCACGAAGCCGTGATATTCCCTTCATTGTCGGTTTGGGGGCATTTAGGCCAACGTCCCATGCAATTGTTTCGGTTATTGTGTAAAGACAAACAAAAGGAAGCTTGGTGTCTTACTTCTTACAATTGGACATTGGAATCTGTCTTACAGATAAAGAAAGCTGCGGGAAGCTGTTCAAGCAGTTCATTCATTGACCGAGACATTAGACCATGGAATATAAAAGAAGCTGTTTAATCTCCTACCTCATTTTCGACCCATGAAATAATTTCCAGCCTACTTCATCTTGACATCTTAACATCAACCCCCAACCTACCACCGAGAAAGAAATCCAGACTTAAAAAGGAGAATGCCCTCCCAGTTAGGCTGGATCTGGCCCAAAGACCCACGCCCCGGCAACCCGCAACACTGGCCACGCCGCTGGCGCATCTTTGATGTCCTAGCGAGCAAAGGGCCAGACATCTACGTGGGCCGAATCAACCAGCCCAAAACAAAGACCGGAAGGGCACCCCCTCAAGCCCGGTCCGGGCCTACAAGAGAAGAATGGTCTCGATGGGAGATCGACCCCAACGACTCTGGATCAGACTACAGACCACTACCCTGGGCACGGCGGCCTGCGGCAGAGCGCTACGATTTCCGTACGAGGAAGTACCACATTCCGGACCATGGAACATGGAGTGATGTTCAGTATTGCAATGGGAGAAGAGCTCGGAGGGGGGAATGGAGCGGGAGAGAGGAGGTGCATTGTGTACCGAGGCGATATTGGGATCGGAATGGGGTTGAGTATCCGGCGGAATTTTGGCATGATAACATTTATGGGAAGCACAGGGATTGAAGGCAATACACAGGTTGGAAAAATGTGGTTGAAAGAAAAGCAGAGAAATGAATATGGGGTGATGGGGTGATGGGAGGGTAATTTGCAAGATATTGTGTTTGTTAAATCCAAGTAGTTCTCTTGAATGCTTACAATCATTTTTCTCTCTCAAAGCCAAGATGAGATGGATATAGCCCAATGCGCTGACGTTCTTCCAAAATTCCACTCTAAGTTCCAAGAATGTGCTAGGCTGATATAGGGAGAGAGTCCAATCAGACGCATCCACAGTGCAATGCGTCGAATGTGTATACACGTGCTGGTCCATTAAGAGACTGTTGATCCGCCTGAGGGCGGCGGAGAGTTGGCAGTTGGGCGCCGTTATCAGTCAGACGAGCGCACTTCACGCATGGTGTCTGCTTGATATCCGCATAAGAAGAGATCATGTCCTACATTGGCATTAGCAAGACTCTCCTTCGGAGTCAAGGACAGAACATACCAGCAAGAAAGCAAGGTCCCATTTTCGCGCGCGTGACCCCACACATCCCAGTATAGCATCCTCAAGTTTCGTGGGTGACCGACCAGCGATCTTGCTCGAAACCTCCCAGTCAGAGATTGGGGAGCCAGGGGAAGATACTCCTTTCACCTGGAAGACGACACCAGCTCTAACAAGTGCTACCGCTAGAGAAGTCTCATCCTGGCCCTTGATAACTCGTACACCGGGCATATCCCGCTGAACAAACCGCTCCAAAACATTCTTCCACTCGCCTTCGGTAGACTGCGCTTTAGTACGTTCGGCTTCCTCGTCCACTCGCTGGTGTTCATCTATTTTGGACTTTTCGTTTCGTGCTAGTTCTTCTAGAAGAACGTCATAATCTCTTTCCCACTTCCCCGTCGGCTGAAGAAGCTGGCCGTTGGCTTCCTGAATGCGGGATTCGACATGTGCCCATACAGAAGTCAATTCCGGATCCCGCCACAAGGACTGAAATTGCTGGACATCAGCGACGCGCGCGCGTGCGGCCTCATCCAGATTATCCCGGAGGATCCGTGGAGTTTCAGCGACTGGATTGCCGAGGGATACTTTATCTGGGTTTGCAATAGGCACCAGAGGCTCCAGTAGGCCCTGGGGCATAAATCCACGCAGTTCATGGATCTAGATATCTCATTAACTTGGGTTTGTGGCAGAGTCTGCAACAGCTCATGTATTTACCTTGCGTTCGAGTTCTTGTAATTTTGCTAGTGATGAAACAAGTTGGATCTCTGAGTTCAGCCCTGATGCTTCGCTGTTGCCGTTCGCTGGCCCTTGGGTGGAGTTCTGATTGGTAGTAGCCATCGCTGGGGCTGTTGACAACGATTTTTGTGAGGCACTTGGTTAGACGGCCAAATCCATTAAATTTGGTGTTCTGGAGATGAGTGATATATAGATATATATTGGAATAGGCACTTGACTTGCGCAATGGATAATCAAGCAAGGTGAAAGACAACGAGTTATCGCAGTGATTGTTTTGTGGGCGATGAGGTCACCCTGTGTTGTCTGTTATGTAGGAAATTTAGGAGAAAAATATCCAGAGGCCGGATGAGAGAAAGTGTTTTGATGTTGGATCACAGATAATGATATTTTGTTGCTTAAAGATGCTCCAGTAATGCGAGAATGAGAGGATGTGAGGGAAGAGATGGCCGTGAACCAATCAGGAAAACCCCAGCCACAATCGCTTGTGCCAGAAGTGGCTGATGCAATGCTTACATAATATAGCTTTTTTATAGTTCCGAGGGCTTTTTAATTTTATTTGCTTTGCGAGTCCCAAACATCTACAGGCAGAGTATTGGCACGGCGAGGTGGCAAGAACAAAGAGCAGCCTGTCCTAAATAGGCTTCGGGGTCAATGGTTGGAATGGCCAGCGTTCGAAGCAAACCTTCCAAAGTTGGAATCTTTCCAGCTTCTCACGGATTTCCTGTTTGAGAATCAGCTCATCTAAGATAGTTTTCGGCCCACCGAAACGCATCAAAATTTTAAGAGTCCAAGGTTTGCCCCTGGAAGCAGCACCGAGTCAGTTCCAACTCGCGATGGAACTTTACTGTGGTCATAATCGCGCCCATCATTATCATATTTGATTTTCCTGGTCACCAACTCATTTCCATCCCCATCACCTGCCTCCACTATCTCACCTCGAGACTAGCAATCTGCATCTTGAAGATATTTAATCACAACTCTAAGCCCCCAAAATAGATAGTCAGAGGTATTACGTGGCTGGGTCGGGGTTCATGTGATCGGTTCGGAATCATGGCGCACTATTCTCTTAGAATCTGGATCCCCCCTGGATCCCCGGAGTTTTTCTGACAAGAATTAGTCTTGGCACATAGATGCAATACAATCCACTCCTCTCCGCCCCCATTGTATTTTACCCGGTTGACAGGCCTTACACCTGCACACTGTATATCTTTACAATTCCGATGGATTAGGCTAGGAAGATGGCGGGGTAGATTAAGACCCATGACGATATTCAGCCCGAGCACCATGATGAGAAGCTTGCCAGTGCTGGAGTAGAGCTCGTTTGAATATTGGTGACTCATTCTTGTCTTATAGAACCACGGCAAGCTAGGGGATCCACCGTATTGGCCGAAGCTACAGCCTCCAAACAGAGCCTCAAAAAGTGGGGTATAAATAGCTCAGCCCCCAACACAAAACAAAACACCACATTTGCAACATTCCCGGTTCTTGAAACCACAATAGCAACTATGGCAGGCCAAGATATTCCAGAAGACTTCCTCAGGGGACCATCCCCAAATGCAACCCTCAACATACTCGATTTCGAGCGCACATCCCCACCGATCCCCCAATACAAAGGCCACTTCGCCGCTATAGTGGACAACTTTATGACCGAAGTCGAATGCAAAGAGCTCATCCGTCTAGCAGAAGATTCAACAAGAACCCAACTCCCAGACTCAACCCTCTCGCCTCCCGTATGGGAACAGGCAATGATCAACGCCGGCGGCGGCAAACAAGTAATGTCCATCGACACGCGCAAAGGCGGACGGATCATATTGGACTCACCCAGTCTTGCAGAAAGAATTCTGGAGCGAATTATGCCTTTCATGCGCGAGTGCGAAATCGACCGCCTCCAGGGCAAACCCATTGTTACGGGTCTTGGGCCTGCGAAACGGGGCGAAGTGCTCCGTCTCAGTCGGCTGAATGAGCGTCTTCGGTTCCTGCGTTATGAGGGCGGGGATTATTTCCGGCCTCATTCGGATGGGTGTTTTGCTACACCTGATGGGCTGGAGAAGTCGCTTTACACTATTCACTTATATTTGAATGGAGAAGGTGAACAGGATATGGAGGAGTTACAGCCTCATGTTGAGCGGGCGGAGAAGACGAATCGGTTGTTCGCTTTCGGCCAGAGATGGGATATTGATCTTCAAGATGCCGAGATTGAGTCTGAAGGGGCTCAGGTCGGTGATGGGAGTTGTACTGCGGCTACAGATACCTTGGGGAAGACTGAGAGCCTTCTAGGTGGTGCGACCTCGTTTATGGCTGGTATGAACTCGAGGGAGTCGGTTCGGATATTTCCAAAGACGGGATCTGTTCTGATATTTCAGCAAAGAAACTTGTTCCATGGTGGAGATGATGTGTTTAGAGGTGTCAAGTACACTGTACGGACAGATGTCATGTATGCTACCGAATAAAGAAGAAGTGAGGGTCATTCAAGGCCACATTTTGCCCCTGCATTGTACGCCTGGATTCAAAGGAATCTCAATCTCCGGCTTATTCACCATAGAGTTGAGGTTGAATGTAACGGCATATTTTCACAAGAGCCGTCCACCGCAACGAGTTTCATGTGCACCTCCCGAGGCGACCATTCCAGTAGACCTATCAACGGATCAGCCACTCCCACACTCCATGCCATCATGTCATCCATTCAAAAGATCCCTGGATCAATGAGAATGTGATCACACTCGGAGGGTATAGTCTCTGTCGGGAGGCTGTTTTTTTGGACCAGCAGTACGGATAGTTATCACCCTTCAGCCTCCATAGGTAGTGATCCATGGTTTAGCATGGAGAGTAGTTTTGCCACGAGCTTAAAAACTGCTACGAAAGAAATGTCAATGCGGCCGAAGGTCAAAGGATATCCATTGGATGAGGATGAATAGTTCCAAGGTTGGAAGAATACTGCCTAAACGGGCATAATTTATAAATAGACCATATACCGCCTTCCTAACTAGGAAAGTGCACTGTGCATTCCAACCTTGGAAGGTCAACACAGCGGAAAAATCCGACTCCACCACTGTCCGCAATGCTCTCGTCCACTTGCTTCATACACAGTGGATAATTTAGTTTGATGATTTTTGTGGGAATTGACTTAATCCCCGGGAAGAGACAGTGGAACCTGGACCTTGGCTAACTTAATGCGATACGTCATGTCAACATTTCAAGAAAACGCGCCCCTAGGGCTTCCGGCCTGATGCTCAAGAAAAAGAACACAGACCGTCACAGCCTCAAAACACATTCGACGGAAGTAGGAGTCAACGCAAAAACTTCAACCTAAGGTCTCCAACTGAACAACGAGCTAGAAGCTCCCGCCAAGGGGGTCACAACAAAATACGAAAGAGCGGGGGGAAAGGACTAGCAAATCTGTGGATATGGCACCCCCGGATAACCCGAGATTCGTTCATTTTCAAGATCGACCGAATAATAAATCAAAAGCTCATCTGCAACGTTTTGTTAACCTCGGAAAAGTTTGCGGCTGATATGTGGCAAAGAGACCAAAAAAGAAAACCGGTTAGCTGAACCGCTCGATTTGGGCCTCAACCCTCCAGAACAGAGCTAGGGGGCCTAACGGAGTTCGGCTTCTTCAAAATCCAGTTGCTCATTATAATCTATTAATGTACGGGTAAAAATGTATCCATTTATTGTTTCGGGTTTGGAATGCGATCCGGGAAAGACGGTATGTGGGCTATTCAGAAAGGATTCCCTAGGCAATGTTCTTACCAAGAAACTGTTAAATGAATATCCTATAGTCTCGGGCCCCAATCCACTTCTATCATTCTTCCGTTACACCATTCCAAGGTTCCTGAGGGTGGCGTGAAAATCGTGGCGCGCGTAACCGGGGTTACAGGGCCTCGGGATAATACTCTCGACCTTTGGAGGTCAGACCATCATGCAATTTATTGATTAGTACTTCGTATAACAGGATATGACATAGGGTCATCGATCAGTGATCGACAGCCGACCTGTGTATTTGCGGGGTGAAGCTGCAGCTATACAACGATCTGATTGGTTGGGTTTTGAGGATGTCTTGGATAAAAAAAGAATTTATGTTGGCAGCCATGTGGAGAAATGAAGAGGAAGCAATATAGAGATGAATGCACAAATCATAGCAGGGCTGTCTCACTACGTAAATCCACACATAATTAAGACACCGTTGTGGAGTACCGTATTCCGGGTATTACCTGACTTGACGTTACATCCTTGGATTTGTATTATTCTATTTCGAGCTGGACGAAAGGGCAGAATGTCACCTGCAATAAGGTCAAACTTGATATCACACGGAGAAAATGACATAAATAGCTTCATTCCTCCCATGTTGTCTTCTTCATTCTAACAAACATCCTTCAAAACCAAATACTTCAATCAACTACTCAATCACCCAACCACCCAACTACTCAAACCATCATCATGCAGCTCACTCAACTCATCCTCGCTACCGGCCTTCTGGCCTCCTCAGCTTTCGCTGCTCCCGCAGACACTTCCGTTAAGTCCATGATGGCCGACAGCCCCCAGTGGACCCTCCAGAACACCAAGCGTGTCTGCAACACCGAAGACACCTCCTGCACCTGGACTTTCGGCATCTACCCCGGCGCCGGCAAAGCCACTCCCTGCACCTATGTCGTTAAGGGCAGCCCTGCCTCCCGCGCCAACGGTGGCCCCGTCACCTGCGGCGGATACGCCGTCACTTCCGGCTGGAGCGGCCAGTTCGGCGAGGGGAACGGCTTCACTACTCTCTCTGTTGTCGACAACGCGTCAAGGCAGATCATCTGGCCTGCCTATACCGATAAGCAGCTTGCCGGTGGTAAGGTTGTCAAGCCTGACCAGAGCTACGCCCCTGCTGCTCTCCCTTGAATGAAGATATGATGTTTCGGATTATGAGCTGAACACCGTGTATATCAACCACTTTCCTTAATGACAATCAATGACAAGCGATTGAGCATCTTTGACCTGCTCTCATATATATTTTATACTTTGGATCGGTTGTGGAGACGGGATAACCGCGTAGCACATAATGTTGCTCCTAGCAAGAACAATTCGGCAAGGATAAAAGCGGCATCCGATCCGAACACTTGCTGGGTGGTTTCAGCCCCTATGGGGTCAGGATGTAGTCAGATGTAGTCGGATATATAACTCATTATGTAGCATTATCGAGAGGGTAGAGGTTTCTTTTCAACTATCAAGGACCACCAGTAACTCTTAGTGTCACCCCCTGTACTAGGCAAACAGGGTACACCTAATCATCCCGTGGACGCCTATGTGGATATGTAACTCTATGTAAATATCGACCTGATTATCAAGGCTAGTATATGGGTAGGAATGCACCACTCCTGGAGCTGGTCAAACATTACACTTGTGGTTGAAATTCTATGGCAGACTACTTCATCTTGTAGCAGCACCTGTAAATGCAAAGTTATGCATCCTATGACATCACTATAGGTATAATTAATACTTCTTCGACCTGCAATGGTGTAGTTGAGTATGCATGGTGTCTCATAAATGATGGAAATCTAAGCACCAATACTAAGAAATGAGGGGCACCACTTCTGTAAATCATCTATGCAACCCCGTAGGCCCGTAGGTGGTGGCCCCGAGGACATCTTATCGTATGGCTGAGCGAGAAACAATCTCCTGAGGTGGGAACAAAAGAAGCAAAGTAACAAAGAAAGAACGATGCCAAATGCAGGTTGGGCTCTCAGGTCGGATCTAGTTTACCACAAGCCTCGCTCAAACTTAAGGTTACCACCGCCCACACTACGTCTGAAATTCACCACTTATTGTAGCTCAAATAAGTGGTGCCGTCAGATGTATCAAGCAGCGGGTCAAGAGTGTTATATAGTAGTGAGTCCGTATTATTTTCAAGCCCTCCAGATCTTCGACCCTATGCTGTATCTAGGCGAAACCTATACTCCGAACTAATAGATATGGGCAAACTTAAGGAATAATTGTCATGTCATGCACTATATATATCGGAGCCTGGTCTATCTGAGCGTAACGCTCAGTTATAGTGGTCTTTTTGGCCTAGTTTGTAACTCGCCAGTCCAGGGGCAGGTTGTAACAATAATAACCATATCATTCATTCACTATGAAATTTCTTCTTATTCCATAAATCAATATGATGCCCGATCCATACATGAGGTTTTTATTTCACCCCTTCAAGTGCAGGATTTCTGGTTTGATTAATATCAGTCATCACAAAGCCTTTACTTTTAGCATTGGCTTTCTGCTATTTTGCTCATACCAACACAGCATACTCTAAAACCTCCCGGCCCATAGCACGCATTGGGATGGCTAAGCTTTGTTTAGAATAACTTTGATATAAAGTAAAAGTGAATGAATCTACACTTACTCTGTAGGACATTGGTTAGACCAGAAGCCCGGCTAATTTAAACCATAAGCATTAGCCAACTCTTAGGTCATTCCGTGTTTGTCTTGGATATTGTGTGTGGAACTTGTTAATACACATACAACGCAATCAAACTGTGGGAGATGTGAGTATTGAAATTTCTATTATTTGGATAGAACTATTTTATATAAACCTGTGGTGGTACTGGGTTGAGCAGGTCGTCTGCTACAGGCATAGCATATACCATGGCAGCAAGGAGAGGTAGGATATATAGGAAACTCATTTTTAGGATTGATCCGAAATTGTGAGTGGTAAGCTAGTATGAAAATAAGTTCAGATTAGCTATTATTGACAGAAGGATACGAGGGAACCGAAATAAGGGATGTCGGGAAAACCTGGACTGTTTATTTATGACAGTTGGACCTATGGTTTAGGTTCATGTGAAATTTTACAGTGATTCCTAAACTTTCCTCTCACACACACAAGTGTGCTCAACGCAATGATTAATCAAGTTCTGTACATAGTCAGCAAGCTAGATAAGAAAATAAAACGTAGCAGTAGTGTCGCAGTAGTATAGCAGTAGTAGTACGGAGGATGAGATTCGGGGAATTACACAGAAGAGCCCATTCGTGGACGCTGAGGTTTAGGATATGGAGAAGCTTGTCATTACACCGTTCATGTATGGAGTCAGGACTGCTGTGTAATACTCTCACCTTGTCAAAGTTACATATATAGCCACTTCTTGAAATACGATCTGGTTGAGGAATTCAAAGCTCAGTGTTGATTTGCATTAAAATTAAGTCCTATGGTCGAGCCTGTATGGCATCTGTTTCAAATTCCAACAAATCGATTTAATTTTCATTACCATTAACCTGGTTTCATCCTTTTGGTAAATGCCAATTCTCACGCCTTGATATTCAGCTTTGGTCCATACTTGAAGATTCTAATCGATGCATAGCCTAATCCCGACACGCAGGTCGGAACGCCACCGAACACCCACAAACTGTGCCAATCGAGCGATGCACCACCATTCCTGAGAATTGCACCACCGCTAGGACCACTAGCCAGCACTCCCAGTGCAATGATTGCGTACCCCATGCCAACACGGGTGCCTAACTTCGACTTGTCCGCCGTCAGAATGACCAGACACATAGGCGGCAGTCCGATCAGCGCACCACTCATGAAACCGGACAAAATCGCCATGACAATGACTGCTGCCTTCGAATGAACTGCCATCATGCAGAACATCAACATGCCCAAGGATAGCGCAGCGGGAACGAGAAGGTTAAAAGGACCGAAACGGTCTGCGAGTTTGTTTGGAATTGTACGACCAAAGACCGAAGCTGCGTTGAAGATGGGCACCATGTAGAAGGCCAGACTGCTATCTGTGATGTGGGTTGCCTCGGCGAAGAAGGACAGGTAGAACAAGATAACAAATAATCCCATGTATGCAATAAGCGAGGTGAACACGAAAGCCAGATAAGCTGGGTCCTTGAATGCGGTGGGATCGACCATGGCGCGCACCTTGGGCTGTTGTACGCGCAGACGCATGATGCTAATTGGAATAAGCAGTGTTCCCAGTGCTATGAATCCGATAACGCGCACTGCCCAGGGGAAGCCGATTTTATTGATGAGTCGATACAGAACGATGGGGTAGATGATACCGCCGAGAGCGGACCCCGAAGCTGCCACGCCCATTGCAGCTCCCATCTTAGTCGTGAAGTATTGGGGAATGATGGCGACACATGGAACAAATAGACATCCCGTTCCAATTCCGACGACGAATCCTTGTGTCAGCACAACCTGCCAGAATTCGGAGCACAGACTCAACATCATGTGCCCGAAAACTACCATGAGAGAGCCCACAATGAGGAGCGTTCGGAGGTAGCCGCGGTCATAGATGGGACCGACAAACACCCCGACAAACAGCAGCATGAATGCGGCAATTGACCCCACCCAGGAGATGTCGGACGAGTTAGAGTGGAAAAGAGCACCGGACTCATAGTAGGTTTGATAGGCGCCAAAGGTATTCAGGATGCCCCATGTGTTGAAGTACAGCATAAAGCTGCCAAGTACATTGAGCCATGCTATTGTACCACCGTTCGGAGGTGGGGATGGTCCCAAGGGCTTTTCTTGGGGGATGGATTCTGAAGAAAGAACAAACTTCTCTGTCTTATCGCCCATGTCGATCTTTACGGTGAAATTTGATCAGAGATGAAAACATAGATGAAAATCTCGACTCCGTCTTAAAATCCTCTTTATACATGAGCTTCATTTATCGGGTTATTTCCCCATTTGGTTGTCTCTCGGATGTTGTCAATGTTGTCACTTCATCATTGAGCCACTCGAGATGTTAAACCCCATTGAGAAAATCCCGGAGATTAACCCCATTAGGCTATATCTCGGAGTTATCACTTCAGCCCTAACGTCGATCAAAATGTTACTCCAAGCGTCCAATCAAATCCATCTTTGTCCCTGTCAGAAATGTTCAAGCCTACGATGTGGTGATCCTTTCTCATATACCAGCTGCCTATTATTATTATATTGCCTCCAGTCTTAAAGGTTGCCTATGTTGGCAAATCTACATGTTTTCTGATGGAGTTTTGTTGCCTAGTAGCTTGTGCTGACACGGTGAACTAGATCTTTCTCGTAATCCTGTCAGTCGTGAGACGGTAGATAGCGAGATGGCTCGATATCCATGGAATTGGTCCACCTTTCACTGCCGACGTGCCAGGACCGACGTGACAGCCGCCTACAAAGATTACGGGCCCTTCAAAGCATGGCTACGCGTGCATGCACAAGACTCCATTCTGAATGGATACGAAATTGCTGGCGGTATAAAAGATTCCTTATTCGCGGCTCAATTGGAAGATGATAAGTGCGGAGCGATTAAAGAATGGGTCGGGCTACTGGGGTTTAGCCAGGGTGCCAATCTAGCTGCTAGCATTCTAGCAAACCAGCAAGTCTTCCGCAATAGGAGGGAAATTGTTTAACAGTTTGCTATTCTGCTAGCGGTACGGGGCCTACTGTGATGGCTGAGCCCGGAGTTGCCTATGCGGACCATTGTAATATGTTACCACAATAGCATTGACTAGAAACACTTCAAGGTTATCCTCAGGTATAAAAATTCGATTGGCTCCTCTCTCTCTATCTGACGACCATTGGAATGAAAAACGCCAAAAATCAGATTACATTATAGAGCACCTTTTAGTGCACACTTGTGCAGATGCCACCCTGATCTGAAAAGCAAAGAATACAGTCATTATTAATTCGCTTTCCATAGGCTCTTCACATCCTTCTTGACTGGCTTGAGAAGACCTTTAATCTCCGCCTTGAGCGCCTTCTTGTCTTCTTTAGACCATACTCCACTCCGCTTGGCGGCTCTGAGATCCCGGACGTGGCCTACAAGTAAAGTCGAGATATTCTCCACCGTGCACTTGGTGCACTTCTTCTCATCAGCAATATCATTCAATGCAGCTGCCAGTGTTCGTATGATGTCTTTTGCCTGCGGCTTCTGCAATTCGTGATCGAGAAGCGGGACTTGGCTGGGCCCGTGGGTTAAGCAATCTGGTTTGGGGCTTGCACTAATTGGATTTTAGTTAGCAGCTGCCGCGTTTTAACAAGAAATGGATGGGTTTCTAGATACTTACAGTTTTTGCTGTTGTTTCTCGGTATTATCTAACTCGACGTGGTCGACAGAGGTGTAGGACGGGGCCTTGGAGTCATCGGTCTTGAATTCGGTCATTATGTTCGTATGTAAAAAGTGAGAGTTATAGAGCTTTGGTGAATAGTAGTGTCAGAAAGAGCTTCTGGTTTTTTTTTGCTCTCAATATTCTAGCAGAGTGGTATTTATATCTACACCTCGCCGCGTGGTACTGCGAGGTTACCAAAACGGGGAAAGTCCGATATATCCGAGGATTACCAGATTTGGTACAGCTAAAATGTCCGATCGGGCTCGGGTTTCTTTTCGGGAAGACTATACATCGACAAAGACACGCGAGACAAGATATTTACTAAATCAAAGGGAAGAGAGGTCATCCAACGTCTATGATCTTGAGCCTTGTACTTATCCATTACGTTGTACCATTGATGCAAACCACCACAAACCTCGAATGTTTTTCTCTAACCTTGTTTAAAATCAACTGCAATTTGTTGTCTCAGTTGATCTACTATATCTCTCTCGCCTTTAAAAAAGGTATCTTACAATGATCTGGCCTGTGAAAACATCATGGACGAAGCATATCTCCCCGCCCCACTCCCTCCCTCTTCCGATCCCGCTCCGAGCTCCCTTCAAATTGCAGATCACTACAACCCATTTTGGGCCCAGCTTGAAGCCCTAAATGAATATAGATATTCGTAGTCACATCATCTTGCATGAAAGCTAATATGTACTATGTATCTTGCAAGGGCTTATTTGGTTCTATTCAAGAAATAAACGGGCGGCTGCAGTGCTGTCATTCGCTTTAGGCTGTCTCTTACCTATTGCCCACTTCAGGCAGCTTCGGAGATGGTGGAGAAAATTAAGGGCACAGGGGTATTTCGGTATATTTACCCAAGTGAGATTTTAGATCCGAACCCTGTCCCGTCACTGCCTGATTGAGATGTCTTAAAATAACTTTGGACCCCAAATTAATGTGTTGAAGTGAGAAAGGAGCCTTACCTTGGCCATACATAGCTAGGCCTTTCTCTCTCCCATTTTATACTCACTCTCTCTTCATAGAGATTCAGCTATATTTTTTTGTGGAGTCTGCGATATCCTCAAGAACAAATTTCTTGTTAGAACGCACACACGTGCTCACAATTCGCAACTCGTACCCTGCTCTATCAAGAAAAGCTTGAGTGTACCCACTATGTTTCGCTCACTCCTGGCGATCGCTAGCAGACGCCCAAAATACATCTTTCCCGAAGTCGATCCGATAGTCGATGGAGACGACTGCCGCATCGACTGCAATGACTGCACCGTAAAATGTCCACAAAACGTCAAGATTGACACCACTCTTCCGATGTACGGATTTATCAAGGAGTTCCACGCGCACATACTCGTTGCCACGGGCCAAACAGATTGGGTTCGGAAGGTCGAACAAGAGAATGGTAGTTTAATGGAGGCGTTCAGATCCCACGCAAAGTCCAAGAAAGGGGTTTGTTTCTTTGATCTGGCAGCAAAACCCTGGGAATATGCTAATTGCGTGCTAAAAGCGCCTCATGATCTCCGCGTCGAACCTTGCTCCACCGGGTGGAGAGGTGCCTGATACCTCTAAAACAACCGTCCTCCTACTACCGTCGTTTACCTTTGTGGATGACGTCGCTTACTCGGATGCCCAGCATGTGGTCGAGACGTTCATTGACGTGTCAACGGATATTCCAACCCAGTCCATCAGCAGTCCACGATTGAGTTCCCGACAATGTCCACATGACTACGTAGTCCTACTATGCTCGCATAAGCGGCGTGATGCGCGCTGTGGAATTACCGCACCATTGATCAAAAAGGAGATGGAGCGACATCTGCGCAGAAATAATCTTTACCGAGATATGGATGATGAGCGCCCTGGTGGTGTGGGGATCTTTTTCGTCTCGCACGTTGGAGGACATAAGTTCTCTGCAAACGTGCTAATTTATCGGAAGAAAGAACAGCAGATGATCTGGTTAGCTAGGGTCAAGCCAGAGCATTGTGAGGGGATTGTGAAGCACACAATCCTGGAAGGGAAGGTCGTTCATCCGGATTCGCAGCTTAGAGGGGGATTTGACAGGGTTAAGGGGCTGACAAGCTGGTAATGTCTAAACCAAAATGCTGGAGTTCAGTCTTCATTGATTGGTGCACAGTAACCATAATCCAATATGTACATTATGATCGCCAAACATTTAATCAATTTGTGGCCTAATGACCTAAGATATAGCCTATGGGACTTTTAGGCACCCAATTTCAATCGCTCAATAACGCATCTCCGACCATGAGTGGTGTGTACATCCTGGCAATGATCATAGCTGACGTCTTTGTAGCTCTACCCTTAGTCCTATTGGTAACCATGTATGTTGTTTTCTATGACACTTCTCTCCTAGCATCCCGACGGGCAAATGAATTGGTTACTAGATTCTCTACGGGGCCTGTCGTGGACTACAATTGTAAATGGTATGCTTGGTATTCTGCATCACTGAGCTCAATACCAAATTAATAATATGTTCTCCCTATTAGCCACTTCTCGATATTCAGATTTTAGTGCCACCTCAACGTCTTCCCGTCGCCATGGGACCCATCATATTCAGCCAATCATTTGGAGCAGCGGTATTCCTCAGCCTTGCGCAAACCATATCTAGAAACAGCTTTCAAACTCTCATCGCCGAATATGCACCTTCTGCCAATGCTCAAAATATCATTCATGCCAGGGCTACTGGATTCCGACAGATCGTTTCCGGGACAGGCCTTACAGGCGTATTGATCGCTCAAATCGAAAGCAGGGGAAATGTGGATACCCAGCTGTGATTCTCAGTGGGGGTGAGAGCAATCATTATATGCTGAATGGAGTTCGTTCGCAGATGGTCATCAGAAATCTGGGTCGGGAGCGATTCGCACATTGGTGGCACCGGTGATACTCTTGATATCATCGAAAATTTCAGACATCAAAGTCATTGTCCCGGTGTCTTTGCTCTGGTCACCAGATTTTAAAATTCCAACAACCGCACCATCTTGGGTGTATATCCACGATCCGGAGTCACCCTTCTCAGCAAAGGAGCCATCTGGACCGCTAGCAACCTTGTGTTCCCATGTTGGAATAGTCTGAGCCATCCCGTACTCGTCTAAAGTCTCAGTGAAGCGAACACAATCTAGAAAGCTGTATGTTCCTGTTGTGATTCCGGTAGAGCGACCACATTTGTGGAGTTTCAGGCCGCACAAGGGTTCAAAGTTTGGATCATAGATAAACTGCTCCGGAAGCCACCCTGGGTGTCCAAAGCGGGAATAGTGGAAAGGCTAGAACCAGTGACACATTAGCTGTAAGACGAAGCGTAAAAATAGACATGATAACTTACCCGGTTGCCAGAAATTTTGTCTCCGTGCTGCTGTGGTTGTAACCGCTCGGGGTTGATTTTAATTAGAGCCCAGTCGGTGGATATCAGACGCGGTTCTTGGGTTCCTTCTGTGTTTTTCAACTCCGGCGTTCTATTGAGACCGCTTCCAGCATAAACATGACCTAGAAGGTAGCTGCCACTATCACGCATTGCGATAAAAGCGCTGCGGGTCTCCTCGATGGCCTGGATTTGTCTGACCACTGCACGGTAGTGGGCCTGGGCTGATTCTGGGAGCAATCCATCGTCACCCTTATTCATCTCTTTCTCACACTGCAGAAACCGTGGTGTCCTGAGATCCGCGATAATATCATTATTTCCCTTGATAGTGTTGTCCAAATCTCGCAGTGAAGGATGGTCAACCCATAGAATCTGTTGAGCAACATCAGGGAATGATTCGGACTTTCGAGGATCAAGTGGAGAGAACTCCCAGGTTGCAATGGCTAGATTTACTATATTAGCTTGAGTGTATGATAGTGAAGAGATAATAGCGTACCTTTTCCAGCGTTGTGAATCTTGAACCACTCAGGGTTGCGGTGGTTTGTCGGTGGCCAAACAGCATGGAAACATGTCAGGCCGTAGGTACGCCATTCAGTTTGACCGGAAAACTGGAGTTGTACAAGGCCACCAAGGGTGGAAGTTCCCGCGGAACATTGATGGATTCCGAGGCTAACACCGGGGTGAATCGCTCCCGCACAAACATCTCTATCTAGAGTAGGATTCTGTACGAGTGGCGTATTGCTGTCTCTCTGAAATAAGACGTCCACATCTGCCAAATCAAAGTATGCGAGGATACCATGTAGATGCCGTGCTGCTGTGATGAATGGGTACGTGCTTGTTTTGCGGACTTGAACAATGACAGTGACAGGGTTTAGCTGTCTCACTGTGTCTGTTCCGTATCTCCAACATTCCAAAGCGGTCCACTCACGGAAATCAGCATGCGACAGAATGAAGTCGACAATCGAGGGCCACTTGCGATAGATCGGGTGTCCCCTATTCACAGGGGAGCAGTAGATCCCCCGATTTAGCTGTTCTTCGATCAGCTCAACACAGATCCCGGGGATATCCTTTGCAAGCTCTGGCTGAATATGACGTAAAGCACGGTACCACTTGTCCGGATTTGGCTGATCCGGCATCACAATAAGCATGGTGAGGATAGGTTCAGGTTCCGGGTCAACCTTTGAGATGCGCCCCACAAGCCTCACATAGCTAAACCCAAGCCCATGTTCCCCTAGGATGCTGGCTGTACGGTCTTGAGTTCGAAGGGACAGTCTGGGAACTGTAGAAGGAATATTTGTTTTTGTGAGAGCTGGAAGGGAGCATAGTGTCGGGCCACCAGCACGGTGGGAGGATTTCAAGAATCCATGACTGTCCACATGTACTGAACCACCGAACGGAGAGGAGGATGATGAAGTTGAGTAAAAGCTCAGTGCGTGACAACTAGCCTTCGACAAGGTAGAAGATGTGAATGAGGAGGACATTGTGGTCAATGATGTAAATGCGAGGCGATGTGGTAAGGTAAAAGTGATCACAGAGAGAAGTGAGAGTTTCAGACCAGGTAATAACAGAGAAGTCACAGTTTGAAGCGATCTCACAAAAGATAAGTGAGAATTCCAGGCGAGATGGTAATAGAAAAGTGAGAGTTTCAAGTGATCTGAGAATAGAGAAGTGAGAGTTAGCAAGCTGTGACAAAAGAATCAGAGTTTGAGCTCCGGTCTTAAACAGGCTGCGGCGCAACCAGACCTATACCCATGGCTCAGCGTCGGCAATCTCATGTTCTGCCAGTAACACGACTCCAATGCTTGAAGGATACACATGTTCCATAGTGGCAGACTAGCTCTCTCTTCCCTCCTACATTTATCTGTACAACACACACCACCACAATGCAATACATTGTGCCTCTATGATCTTTCTACTAGATCGTAGATCTTAACAGTACTGATCCATGAGATGCTGCACCGCGTTTTCAAAGTGGATTGGGTCTCTCGTATGAGAAGCGAATATCGTGAAGGGAGAAAGGTGGGTTGTTAACGCTGACTTGACCTGCGATGAATAACTGGCTTACGGAAGATCATATTCTATCCAAGTTTCTCAAGTTCAGGGACAGCACCATCCACTAATGTGGAATGGAGACCGTGGGTGGTATCAAGAGCCTTTGTCTTGATGTTAGACAAGGTGGGGAGAGTGGATATTGTGTCCTTGTCAAGTTCTATGGCAGACTTTGTCCCAGCCAGTGTGAAGTTGTAATGGCTGTTGAAATAGACGATATTCTGACTGGAGCAGAGGAAGCAGTATTTGCCAGTTACAACAGTCGCCATGCATTCTCTGATTCGCCTTCGATAGCAGACATACACTCTTTCTCCGCGCCCCCACTTCTCTTCAACCCACGCCGATTGTAAACATAAAGTTCAACGGTGTCTCTGAAAAATCCCCCACGCAGATCACCAGGACTGAGTTCATTCGTCCTTCGTGCACCACCATATAAGGCGTTTATAAGCCTATTTACACCCGTTTCAAAGCTAGGTGTCTTCAATTCAATACTCTTTCCAATCCACTTCTCAGTTAGCCTGATCATTTCCGTCTCTCAGATCCAATTAGTTAACACGGGAGAATACTCGGCCAAGTAGTGTGGTTCGTGGTCCTTGAAGACCTTCGCTGATATAGCAGCAAGATCATCGAGAGCATCGATACTATTTGCATGTTCTGGTTTCCATCACTTTTCCAGTATGGGATTATCTTGAGAGGCGAGGGCTGCAACGGGATAGGCGTCGAGGAACTACGATTTAGTTAGTACCAAATAATATTAAGTCCGAATAATGCTAAGTTTCATCGTGGGGAATTCAAATATTTCCGGGTTTGAGGATGGTTCAGCAGCCTAATGGACTTAAAAGTCTCTCCTCGATGCAGCTCTTCAAGTCGTGTTGGAGTAAACTCCAATGCTGGGTACCCAGTACACTTGACAGAACATAGTACTTAAAGGAATTATCTTCACGACGTGACTCTGCAAGTGCTGCGTCAACCAGGTTGAAGCCACTTCCTTTCTCGTTGGAATGTAAACTTTCTAGGACGGCGTTGATGATGGCTGTTGCACCAATGAGAAGGTCATGACAGTCAGATAGAAACTGAAGATTGGCTTGGATGATTTCGGCGTCCGGTTAGGAGATTTGTAGATTCTTCGCTGAAGCAATGGAGTGCGCGACTAATCGCAGTCGGAATCGGCCTTCATTACGTAGGAAAGGCATCAATATACCGCATTGTTTACCGCTTGGGCAGGTAATAACGAGGATTTCACTCACGGCTATAGTCAAGGTGAATCAATTAGACAGTAAATGGGGTGGTAAATCGGACTTATTCGGACTTAGGTAGATCGACTACCGATCAGTTGAGCGTCATCGTCTCACTCGGATATACTCTTGGGGTTAACCTTAACCCCGAGCAACAGCAATCATCAGCAATCATATAAGTTTCTCTGGTATCATTTTCGTTCCACACTTACCGATCAAAGAATAGCAACAATGACCTCCAAGATCATCGTCATTACAGGTGATTAGAAGTTGCCTAATGTCATTCCAAGGTCATCTTCGCTAAGTCCCTTTAAGGTGGAAACACAGGGATTGGGCTGGAGACCGTCAAGGCACTCTACCACTCTAAACAGCATTATCATATCCTGCTCGGTGGCCGCAACTTCGAAAAGGCCCAGCTAGCATGCCAGAATGTTATAACCGAAGCGGTACAGAACACCGTGGAGCCGTTCTTGGTTGATGTCGAGAGCGACGAATCGATTGAAGCGGCCTTCGATCAAATTGCAGCCAAGTACGGCCGAGTTGATTGCCTAATCAACAATGCCGGTTTGTCCCACAATATTTCCTAGAAGCACAATCCAACTAACTGACCCCAGGCGCTTCCTTTGATCCCTACATTGACCAAGGCATGACAACCCGGCAGGCGTGGAGCAAGTCCTGGGATGTGAATGTTACGGGCGCACATATCATGACAACCAAATTCCTTCCGCTGCTACTCAAGTCTCAAGACCCCAGGTTGTTGTTTATCACCAGTGGCCTCTCCTCTCTGCAGGGCGCTTCGGACCCCGAGGATCCGAGAAATACCTCTACACCGGCTGGGCTACCTAAGGCTCTACCATTTGTTGGATATCGATCGGCAAAAGCCGGCCTCAACATGTTAATGGTGCAATGGTATAATTTGTTGAGGAGCGATGGCGTGAAGGTTTGGGCAATTTCTCCGGGCTTGCTGGCAACCTCCCTGGGGGGAGACACAGAGTTGTTAAAAAGGCTAGGAGCGCAGGACCCTAAAGTTGGGGGGGAGGTTATTCGTGGAGTTGTGGAAGGCAAGCGGGATGAGGATGCCGGGAAGGTAGTGCGCGAGTATTCGTCGCCGGTTCAGCCTTGGTAATTGCTCAGTACAAAAGAGTCGAGGCCGCAACGGAGAGCTGGACTGCTCCCTGGATCAAAAGGGTTGGCCAGTTGGCCCATCGACTATGCGTGACTCGTGAAATTTGGTAAATTTGGAGGTTATGTGTTCTAAAATCTGTTCTTAAATTTATTGAATAGAAGAACCCTTAGTTGGCCACCTACGCGGCCCTGTCACATGTTTTTGGTAGTCTTTTTGGTAGTCTTTTTGGTAGTCTTTTTGGTAGTCTTTTGGTCTTTTTAGACGTCCTTTTTCTATAATATTGTTTTCCCCTTCTTAATCCTTATAAGTTGGATACAAAAAAGGCGGGAAAAGGCTTCAGTTGTGAAATCGAATTCGTATAACCTTCCACTCAACCTTGAAACCACCTGGGCTGCTATTTCTTTGTGGTGAAATGAAGCCCGTTGTGATACCAACCACCGTGAGACTAGTGGGCTCGGAAATAAAAATCGCCTAGTAAATCATTTCAAAACAAGAGGAACGAAAGACTATTTTCATTTCAAACGATAGACATAACGGGTTGTAAAAAATTGTGAACTTCCTTTAAATGGCATTCTGTAGCAGATCTATTGCATAGACTTGGAAGACAGGCCGCACGAAATTCAACTACCATCTGATGACCTTAGTAGGGAAGTACTCATCAATTAGCTCCATGTAGTAAGGCTGTTCATTAATGTTCACGTTAGCATACGTTCGCGGTAGAATCCAAATATCGAAGGAATAAGCTTACCTTCAGCTTCTCTGGATCAGGGAGTTCATCACTCTTGCTGTACAGATCGTAAGGGTTGAAAGCCCTCACAGCTTCCAGCATCTTATGATCATGTTCATTCATCAACTCATGGTATGCGCCCTCCCGGTGCCACGGGTAGAACGAATGGTACCGAATCATTGCCAGGCCCTCCTCGGGAATTGTAGACTGGTCTTTGACGATATGGTAGAGGTACTCATCGTGACCCCAGCAAAGCATAACGTTGTCCAATCCGCAGCCAGGAGTATAGATTCCAAACTTGGTACTGTAAATCTCGCTGTTGTAGTCCTCGTTGTTCTTGAAGGACTTGTTACCGAAGATGATCCTATCGTCGAAAGCACAGCCAACTGCGAAGGTATCACCAACAACATCCCACTGGCCCTTGGCACCGAAGAAAAAGAGGAGCTTGCCGAGGTCGTGGATAAGTCCGACCAACTGCATCCAGCGAGGCTTTCCTTCTTTACGGATTGCTTCGGCGGACTGCAAAAGATGGGTCATCTGGGACTCGGAGGTATCGGGGTCACATTCGTCAATGAACGTGTTCAGCTTTTCCATCGCCTCCCAAACGGTCATGTGTGCACGAGTCTTGTTTTTGAAATCGTTGCGTGCTTTCAGGTTGTATGCCACTGTCTGAAGGGTGTGTTGCTGGGCGTAGAAGTTCTTGACTTGGTCACAAGCATCGTCAAACTGACGAAATCCGGCTTTGTCTTTGGACTTGTCGAACTCAGATTCATCGTAGAGGCCCTTGTCCTGCTGGTGGTTTGTCTTGTAGACATTGACGGCATCGATATTGTCGGACATTGCCTCGAGGCTGATTGGGGCGGATTGGACTGCGACGGCCATATTTGCGGACTGGCGACTATTCTGGTCTTGTGGTCTTGTTTTGTTTTCAAAGGTTTGTGAAAATTTGGTCTTTGGCTCTATTGCTTCATCCAAGGGTTCGTAGCGAGAAACTTATAGTCTCAGCTCAGAGATATATTGAGCAGTTCCCGGATCGTATTTTCCGTGGCGAGAAGGTCGTTTCAAATCGAGCCCTGGTTATTGATCGGTTCTTGGCTTCCGCTTCCTATGTCATTATCCCCGCTGATATATGATGATCATGGTATATGGTTGACCAGCGTTTTAATGTGGAAAGCGAATTCCGTGCTGGCTAAATTCGTACACCGAGGTATCGCCTCTTAGGTTTTAGATGTCCAAGAAATGGAATGTACCAGTCGCTTTCACGGCTCAAGGCACAATGGGTATGGGGTGATACGACAATGATCATTTCCCACGCAGTTATGGGTATGCTACGTCTAGTGAGAACAAGGACTTATGAATTATTATCATATCGCAGTTCATAGGAACTTATAAGGTCTATCTAATAAACGTTTTAAAATATCTGATGTCGTAATCACGCCGGGAATTCAACGAAAAGGTCAGGTTCCCTCTCGTTCATTACCACGAGAAAACTTTTACCACTTAATATCGTCAATTACGGAAATTCGTGTCTCATCAGAGACCTCGATCTTCTAGACAAGTGCAAACAAGCTTGTTGTCCCTTGGGTCGGCTGAATCAGACCCTGAAGTAGTGGTTTCCGGGGCACCTAGGTGTCTGATGTGCGGGACTCTGCTGAGTACATCGTTCACCAAGTCCAGAATCGGGGAATTCTAATGTTATATTGTTAAAGACGTAGATATATTTTCAATTCAGGGCTGATGATAGGTGAACTAAAGATAGGACAAGATGCGGGATGCCCCACACCAAAACAACCTTATCTCTCGGCCTCCATTTTCCGAATCATCCACGGACGTGTACTATGGAGTCATCTAGCTCAAACACAGCTTCGGAATTACCAGCGAGTGGTTTGTGTGAGAATTCATGCTTCATCTCTCGCAGCAGAATGACTCCTTCTCGCATAATACCGTTTCTTGATTTAGTGGATCTGCTTTCTTACTTGGCTGCTACGGGCTTCTCATGGGTTCGAATTTTTACTAATTCTAGGTGTAATGATATTCCAATCCCTAGCCAATTACCTAAAAAAAAAGGGCAAGCTCCAGACAAAATTGTCTCTTAGCTTCCATATTCATCATGACTGCGAGGTCATTCATTGGGCGTTTAATTATGAGACGCAAAAACGAACCCCCGGCACGATGATCGAAATATCAATCTTATCCACCATTTCGGCGCGTCGTGCAAACCATGTGATCTGCACAAAATATTGTTCTATTTCCTTGAGGATCGGGGTTGTTCTACTTTTTGAATTTGATGTTCAGGTTCCAGAAGAATAATATAACTATAGGTTGCCCTGGAATATAAGCAGCCTACTCGGGGAAAATACTATCATCCAGAACCCCTTCATTTTCCATGTGCCGCGCATTCCTAAATTCTCAAGAAATCATTGCTTTATCATTTCTGGTCTACAAATACCCTGCTTGTTCGGATTCGGCGAATTGGGGCCCTGACAGCCAAGGCAGAAATATTATGAATCCGGCTCATCCCTGGTAACGTCGAGCTTACAATTGACCTTAATCGGCATGTCGATTTTGTCATTGCTTTTCACAGCAGATCGTATAAAAGAGTCTCAAACTCGGACGAAATTCCTAACCAAAATTTCTCATAGCATCAACCCAAATCATTGAGACAATTTCCTTTCACGTCCTCTCAAAATGTCCTCAACCAACAACATCGCATTCACCGCCCCGATCAACCCACCAGGCGCAACACCCGTTGTAACTCCCGAACAAATATGGAACGGCCTCCTCCTCAAGATCCGCTCCGCAGAGACATTCGTTCCAGGAGCGATCCAATCCACCAAGGTCGTCAGTGACTCCGTCGACCCATCGACCGGAAACCCCGTCACCGTTCGCGAAGTCCTCTTCCGCGAAACCCAGAAAACAGTTCAAGAGACTGTCACAACTTTCAAGCCTACCCGCGTAGACTTTGAGCAGCCGGATGGAAGCAAAATCAGTAATGTGATCAGTCAAGGAGCTGGTGGGGAGCTATACATGACGTATATATTCGAGTGGAGACACCCCGGCGTTTCGGAGGAGGAGTTGGCGGCGCTGCTCGGCAAGGAGAAGAAGATGAGCCAGATGGCGGTTGAGGGGACAATCAAGGTGTTGAGGCAATTGGTCGAGGAGAAGAAACTTTGAAGTAGATGAGCGGTGGGAAAACGCCGTGCTTGACCCACGATATCATGAATTCAACATTCGGCCCTCGATCATCTTCTCAGTAAACCTCACCCCATAATCACCACATCTTTCATGTAGCGTATTATTGGAGTAATGAGTTATCAAAGCTTTCCTTCTGATGGCCCTTTCACCAGTCATGCTAGAAGCAAGCAAAGCAGTCGTGGGCGAGTCGAATCGTTTCCTCAGAGCATGTGACTCCCATATAAAGTCCGTTGAATATCCAGATTCAGATGCAACGTCAGCTAGGTCCAAATGACAGAAAAAGACAACTCGTTTCTTGACATGGATTAGCCGAATGGCCTGAGCCCATTCCTTGCGCGTCAGAGACAGTACATCGAGCTCCAGCTCTATCAGTCCGTCGCACAGTCTCAGTAAATTCCAGCAGCTCTTCATATCATCCCATCCATTCCAAATTGGATCCCGATACTGCGGAAATGTACTAGAGTGTTCATCGTTGTTGTAAGCATGAATAGGCATAAACGATATCCGCCTTAGCCACGACCTCACTTGTGGACGAAGAGCAGTCAAGAATCCCGTTAGGAGAGAGGGGTCCTCAAAAGCAAAACAGTTTTCCGACCAGAATACCGGTGCAGCGTCGTTCCAAAATCTCTTGCTGGCGAGCAGAATGGCTAGATTGTCACGCCTTCCGCATAGGCATGGTAGAAACCTCATGCACGGGATCCCTTCCACGTTTCCGTCCAGGTCCCAGTAGCAATTATCACAGAGATAGGAGTTTTTATGGGGCTGCGCCCATTGGCTCCGTGCCGGGGACTGGAATATCGGGACTTGTGGCTGCTTCCAGACGTAGTTGTGGCAGTTTGCACATTGAGGGCCTTCTCTATTCCAGGGATCTGGATCTGGGCCTGGTCTTATACGGAGCAGAGGCATTTTGCATGGGTCTGAGTGATATAGATCAAATTTGCATGGCTGGACGAGAAGTTTACCGTAAATGTTATTTCTTATTTCTTGTGGAAGGGAGAAGAATCTAAAATTACGATGTTAGGAGTAGAAGTTATAATAGGAAGAAAGAGGTCATACCTCTTGAAAAAAGGAGACTCCTCATATTCCCGGGGCTCTATGAGATGTGTCTCCTGTACATGATTTGCCTTTAGTCTTGCTCGTCGGACCCCTTTCGGTGTAGGATGTAATTCTCGGCGTCGTGTATACCGATGGAGTTTGGGTTCCAAGCCGGGCTCTGAAGATGATTTCGCCATTTACTTGCAAATTTCAGAATACAGTACAGATAGCCAAACCGTTCAAGCATGGCTATCCAGATAGAATTATAAATTCGGCCAAATGTAGTCTGCAGCCTAATATGACTCCTGAGAGCACGTCACAGTCAGCTTTCAGCCTCGCGGGGACTCAAAGAGGAAATGGTTACACTGATGCTGTGGCGCAGCACACTACATACTGGTGAGAACAAAGGGGAATATTGCATTATGACTCATTAGAAGTTTTACCTAGGTATGGTTATATTATTCAGACATTAGGAACCAACACCTTGCCCTCAGACACGCTAACTGCAGTGCCCGTCAGCACAACTTGTTCAATCTTCTTGTCGCCATCCAACGTAACCCCAACACCAATATCACTCCGGCGTCCCATCTCAACACCCTGCACAACATGGTACTGATAATTCTGACCAGCCTTGCCCTCCGTAAGTGTCAAGTACGCCGCCAACCCACTAGCCGCACTACCAGTAGCCGGATCTTCCAAAGTTCCCAGGATCGTCCTGGACCGAATGACCTTCTTCTTCGAGACACTATCCTCAACATCCCGAACAATGAAGTACACACAGATCAACCCAGCTTTCCACCCCTCATCAAGATACTCATCGGAAACCAGCTCACCACCGGTCGCAGGCGTCACAGCAGCCAGCGCCTCCAGCGAAGGAAGCTCAATAAACAACTGACTCATCCCATTGACAATGGAAAAGAGCGGGAAAGTAACATCCGGCTGCGTAAAGAACGGCGCCAGTGTCGGGTGCAGCCTAACCAACTCCTTCAAGCTAAACCGCCCAGCATGGATACGCGTATTGTGCGCAATCTGCGCAGCAACGTATTTGGTCTCACGATTCTGGACGGAGATGGGGATGTCGCCGGACTTGGTTGTGAGTGTGGTGACACCATCCTCATCCGCGGGGTCGGCTGAGTGGCTCAGGAACCAGGAGGCTGCACCAATGGTGGGATGACCTGCGAAGGGGAGTTCGCAGTCTGTGGTAAAGATGTCGATGGTGCGCTTGCCTTTCTCGCGTACTGGGTGGACAAAGATACTCTCCGATAGATTGAATTCCCGTGCAATGGTTTGCTTTTGGCTCTGCGTTAGAGCGGTTGAGTCATCTTCTGGGAGGAAGACTACTGCCAGCGGGTTGCCGGAGTAGGGTGTTGATGTGAAGACATCGAGAGTGACGAATTTGAGGTGAGTCATGTTGGAATATTGGGATATTGGGATATTGGGATATTGATATGTCTCGGATATCAACGGGGGTGTCGGGTGGTTTTTATAGTTGCAACCTGGTCCCCCCACTTTTCGCATTGACTCACCGTTAAACTTCACCCTACACTTGAAATAGTCTCATGTCTTGTAGAACAATTGGATTATCGTGTATATTTGCACAGACATACAATGGGCCGCTACACTCGTGGGAGAACAAAATCATCCGGCATACCCCTCCTATTCCCCCATACTTTCAATCCCTCAATCAACGCTCCACTAAAGTCAGGATCATACTTCAATCCATCATCCCCAGAGCTAATCCTCCCCCTCCACAATGCCCAATTCTCAACCATCACCCCCTCCGGCGCACGCAAAATACCAACCGCCACATCAACTATCCCCGGCCGGTCGGTACAGCTATAAAACACCGTCGCACCACAGGTCCCACAGAATGTCCGTAGTACCTCTTCACTAGACTTGTAACTTTTCGACGACCCGATAATCAAATCTCCCAGTGGAGAAGGAGATATATGATCAATCGGAACGAACATCCAAGCTATGACATTGGAGCCATCGACCAGACGACAGTCATCACAGAGATCAAGAAGCGCAAGCCACTTGGTTGTGTCCCTTGGCAAAACCCATCCCTCGCTTGCAGGACTAGCAAGAAATTCCTTTCTAGGACGGGCGATAGAGAACGAAACGCCACCGCAGTGACATTCAGCGCGCAATTCTTCGCCCTCGTTTTTGACTGCGCCTGTTCGGATGCTGTCTCCGGAATCGTTAAAAACATCAAGCTGGCGACCACCAATATGCGAGAACATCGCGGAAAGCCCTCCATCAAGCGAGGAGTTTGTAAAAGCATGCGAGCGCATCTCCCATAGACCCTGGTTTGGCTTAGTGAAGATAGCCGTGGATATCACCCAGCCCCCGTCATCGTGTGACTTATCTCCGATGTGGCAACCGCAGGTACTACAGAAATGCCGCGTTCCCTGGGACTCGGCGTGGTTGTAGGGTGTCAGTTTGTCTATGCTGGAAGGAACGACGAACTGTGGTACTACGCCTGCTGGTAGTGGGGCGTGGAAAATACATGGTGTGCCATGGGTGTAGCGACAGACGCTGCAATGGCATATGTGGACTTTGAGGGGGAGGGAGACTGCGGGAATTGTTATGGTGAAATGGATGCTTTGGCAGTGGCACGCTGCTGTGAGAGTCTTGCTATCAGCCATCTTGGAAGTTGGTAGGAAAAGATGGGTAAATGGGTAAGATGGGTCTCCTGCGACTGAGCAGAGGTCCAGTGTGGGGAAGCTCGTATTCTGTATGCTTCATCAAGCACGGACCTTGGCTTTGTCGGTGACTAGGCAGATAGGAAATATTAGGTCGTAAAATTGTTTTCATTGAGTTTAGGTATCCGATGCTTTACAATTCCGTTTCCATCTCAATGCCAAACGCCTCATCAGGTCATCATAATCGAAACATATCACCAATATTGAAGTGAAACCACTATTCAGAGTCACTTTCAATCACAAATCCGCCGCGCATACGTCTCCGGGCTGGAGCCACAGGTGCATCTTCCTCGTCATCGTCTACAGCCTCATACTCCGTAGCTTGGGGCTTGCTCGGAAGATCACGAGTAAAGGCGAAATCATCATCAAAAGCAAGATCATCCTCACCCGATGTGAGGGGAGTGTCTTCGTCCTCTCCAGCGCCGTGGCTAGTAGAGATCTCCTGCTGGGAGTGAGACGACTCAGCGTCAAGTTCCGCCATGAGAATATCGCCATCAGCATCACTTTCAGCACCGCTAGCAACGGAACCAGAATTACGACGTTGTCGCTTCGATTTTGCGGCCGCAGATGTGCCGGTATCGCTAGTTCGCTTGCGGGCGGCAGACTTCTTCCCTTTACCCTTGCTTGTGGGTTTGACAGTGCCAGTGAGCAAGGCCTTCTTGATTTCTTTTGCCTGTTTGACTCGCCGCTCTTCTTCCAGCCGGAAGAACTCTTTGTCGGCTTCTTCGTCGCTTTCTTCGTCGCTAGCATGGATGAACAGATCACTCTTGATCTTCGCTTGGCGAGAAAGTGCGTTTGATAGACGCGCATCACGCCGCGCTTCTAGGGTTTCATCGTCCAGTGGCTCCCTTTCAGTAGCGGCCTTCTGCTTCTTCTTACGCTTCTTCTTAAGGTCATCCAGCGCACTGGACTTGGACCGCGGATTCGCTGGGAACAAAGGACCATCGGGAATGTCCTCGCCTTCGGACTCGGATCCAAAGTTGACATCAAGCGTGCCTTGGATCATGTTGCCACGATCGCTTCCTTTGTTCTTCGGTTGGATGTGCTTGCGAGGATCATCATTTGGATCTCCGGAGAATGGGTTCTGAAGAGATTTCAAAATTTCAGAAATTATTTCATGCAAGTCATCGGACTTGAGGGAGGCTGGAATGACCCAAGAGGCACCAAGCACATCTTCAACGCCGAGTCGCTCGAATCCGACGATAGTCATGAGCAGACGTAGCTTTGCGTTCGAGAACATGGAATTCTGAACGAACTCGTTTTTGCCTTTGACGGCTGTTTCTTTGTTAGTGTCAATCGAGAAATAGGGTATTGGGGGAACATACTAATCATGGGATTGGGAACGCTGATAGTCTCGGGGTTATTGGCACGACGGACTTCTTCTTGGGTTTCCCAGTCCTCTCTTTCGGAGGCTGCGGAGCTCAATACATCCTTGATCCATGTTACCAGATCTGCCCTACCATCGAGAACAAGAGCTCCAATCACGATGTGCAGTTTCGCCTCCTTCGTCGTTGCCTCCGTCGATGTAATCACAAGGTCCGGCGGGGGACGCTTATAGCTGGAAATCGTTTGCTTCTCGTGTCCATATTCAAGGTAGTAAACAGTTGAGTTGATCTTACTGAATAGCAGTTCAGTGATCAAGGCGGGGCGCTGATCAATCTTCTTGACCAGTCGTCGAATTATCTGCCGGACCAATTCCTCCCATTCCTTAAATACAGACTTGCTCGAGTCCATGGAGCCTGGGCCTTTGATCATTCGATAGAAAAGGCTGATAATATCCACTCGAAACAGCAAGACAGTCATCTCCTGCTTGAACGCAATTCGGTAGAAATAGCGGTGGGCGCGTTTGAGCTGCTCAGAGTTAAGCTCTCGGTAGAAGCCTGTGAACGCAATAAAGGTATCCACGCAGTTTTGGTTGCAGAATTTGGCTGAGAATCGCTTAAAGTCAAAGCTGCGTTCCTTGATGGCCTGGGCGGCTTCCTCCATGTCTTCATCTTCAGAGTCACGCTCCTCGTCGTCGTCTTCTCCCTCTTGCTGAGCGACTTGAGAAGCCTTCTTTTGCCTTTTCTTAGCCTTTCGCCGCGAGCGGATTTGCATGTCGGCATTTTCTTTGGAATACCGTTCCAGCATTCGCAGAAATACATGTGCTAACTCCGTGCAGGCATCTAAATAGCCAAAGCCTTGGTCTTTGTACCCGCGCACAATAGCAAGAATCCGGTCATGGGTTGTTTCTTCATAGAAAATTCGGTTTTGAATGTTCTCTGCGATTTCCTGATCTTCTTCGAGCGGCGACACTGCCATTTCCTGGACAGTCAACAGAATCTGGGTGAAGCAGCGCATCTGAGCATTGAGGTCTTCCCATTCCTTGTTGTCCAGGCTACTCTGCATAGCCCGGTTCAAAGTAATGAACGTCTCTTGGTTCAGGACGCCAGCGACCAGACCATAGCTATCGGGTTCAATATCTTTGGTTCTTCCTCCATTCTGAGCCGTGCGATGGCGAAGCTGTCGAGCCCGTCGTACGCGCTCTGCTTCCAGGAACCAACCGACTGTGTAGAAGAATTGGCGATTATTGAGTGGTACCACACGCTCGGCTTCACGCTCAATTGCTTTCCGCACATGGGTGAATAGAGGGTTGAACCCGGAATCCAGGAACTCCTCCACGAAAGTCCTCAGATTCTTAGTTGCCTCGGAATTAAGGTGAGCTGGCATGTTGAAGTTGTTGTTCTGAATCACATCATCTTGTCTGCGACGAGGCCGAGGCTTATTCCACTTTTTGCTCTCGTCCATCTTTTGTAGTGTGGTCTGGTCGTCGCGCAAGACACCTTGTCCAGAGACAGTAGACACCTTCGCATCGTCTCGCTTGACCCAGATCATTGTACCGAATCTTCCATGGCGTGTAGGCGCATTCTTTGCGTATTCCCTCCGTACCAATGATTCCTTTTTCAATAGATCGCTCAGTTCGTCAGTTCGCTTGGCCGTTCTCTGCTCATCGTCCATGAACAACTTCTCAACGTTGACACCCTTGACAATATGGAAAAGTGTCTCCATCAGAGGAATGTCCTGAAGGTTGAAGTCTTCGCCGACATTAGAGCACATGGTCAGGAGAAGTGCAAACGCATCTTGCTCATGGAAGGCGTTGATTGTCGCCGATCTGGATGTCTCCTCCTCGTCGCCCTCTGCCGCAAGTCGGGTATTGGGGGATATGATCGCAACGTTTCGCAGCAAGTACAACATGAGCTTGAGGATTCCTTCGTCTCGGGTTGAACGTTCGGATCGAGGGGTCGCCATGCTTGGAAGAGAAATTCGAATGACTGCGCGAAGGAGATTCAATCCTCCGGATCTGAGGATACCTCGCTTGTATTGGACCTGTGTTTGTTGAATGTAGGGGGTATGACGGTGGTGGTTGACTGTCATCTGGCTATGAAACTCCACAGGCCATGTTAAGGGAACAAGAAGTTCCAAGCACGCCAGTGAGATTCTGGTCATATGCTTACTATTCTGTCCACTAGCCCACCAGAGCGAGAGAATCGGAAGCAGATCACCATTGATCAAGTTAGCCTCTCCAAGGCATCGCGCAACGTCCATCCGGTTATTCTTTTCATCGTACAATTTCAACCAGCGTTTAATGTCGCGTAGACATGCCAGAGCATCATCTCCGAGCACGTACTGGTCGGCATTTTCCCCATTGAATCCTCCAAGCTAGATAACCAAGCGTATCAGTGAATTAACCCAGAGCCAGGCAAAGGAGAAAGTGGAAAGTGAACTCACAGCAGTAACCAGGCCGTAAACATAGTTACGCACGTCTGGGTCCACGACTTGCACGTCGTGTCCTAGAGGAACAACCTCTTCATCCATGGTGGGCTAGTTTGATACCCCATTAATTTGCTTCCCGAATCGAGTTGAATGGGAACGCGTCGACGCGTGTTCGGCTTCGGCGGTTCGGAGAAACTGGATGCCGCCAAAGTGCCGAAGATAACCGATACTCTTACGCCGGAAATCAACGGCCACAATACAATATCTGGCAAAATACTCAGATGTATAGATCTATAGATCTGAGTAGAGATACCTAGATAATCCTTTCGAACTTGTTCCTTTACATATGTCTATTATTCCAAATCCACTTTTGAAATAATGCATAATATCACGGTGTTCGACCGAGTGCTATCGTTTGATCGACAAGCAATCATGATCATTTTCAATCTATCACCTGGAAATTTCTTGAAGCTGAAGATTCAACGTACATGACTTCAAATGTATTACTCTAAAGAATATAACCTATGTATTTTAAGAACAATGATTTCTCCTGAGGTTTTCTCAAAAGCACTTCCAAGATTGTTGGCTTTCTAGGGTACGTAAGCTTCAGCTTCAATATGCCTCTTTCGGCCCATCTTCTGAATAATATGGATAGCAGACAGCCCCATCATTTCTATGTTTATCACAATACGTTTGAGCAAAGTATTTTCGATCGAGAAGTACAAGGCGGTGAGATATATGCTTCAATGGCCACTGTCGAGTACCACACATTGACGTCCAAAAGCACGTGAAGTCATAGCAGTATACCCATGTGCTTCCTCTCACTTGCCTCCTTCACTCCTTTTGTTAATTTTTCCCATAGCTCGAGAAACCGCTGCAGTCATGCTTACCTCTACTATTCGCTCTGTTTCCCTTCGCAGAAGCCCTGTGGTGGCCCGAAACTTCTGCTCAACCTCTACGGTTCGCGCAGCCGAGGTCAAGTCACTGGGTGTTGTCGGTGCGGGCCAAATGGTGTGTAACACGAAATATACAACCACGATGCAGGTCTAACAAAGTTTCAGGGCTTGGGAATTGCCCTCGTCGCTGCACAGAAGGCAAATGTCCCGGTAACTCTCGTCGATACCTCGCAGGCCTCTCTGGATAAGGGCCTCAAGTTTGCCGGTACGCTGAGCTTCAATTCAGTTTACTGCAATCGCCCGGAATTATCTGACATGGCATTGGATAATAGATAAACTTCTCGAAAAGGATGTAGCAAAGCAGCGCCTTACTCGAGAGGCAGCTGATGAGGCTCGTGGGCTTATTTCTACGAGCCTGACGCTGGAGGGTCTCTCCGCAGTCGACTTCGTAATTGAGGCTGTACCTGAGATCCCTGATCTGAAGACAAAGATATTTGCCAGCTTGGCCCAGATCGCCCCGAAACATGCCATTCTCGCAACAAACACCTCCTCCATCTCCATCACCAAGATTGCCGCTGCCACCAGCGCGGATCCTACCGACCTTCAGGCTTCCTCCCGGGTCATCTCAACGCACTTCATGAACCCTGTTCCCATCCAGAAAGGTGTAGAGATTATCCGGGGACTCCAAACATCCCAGGAGACCATGGATACTGCTATTGCCTTTGTCCAGCGGATGGGTAAGGTAGCCTCTGTATCGGCCGATACACCTGGCTTCCTTGCCAACCGTATCTTGATGCCTTACATCAACGAGGCCGTGATTTGTCTCGAGACTGGTGTTGGTCGCCGTGAGGATATTGACAACATTATGAAGACTGGCACCAACGTGCCCATGGGCCCCCTCGTTTTGGCTGATTTCATTGGCCTCGACACATGCCTTGCAATCATGAACGTTCTTCACCAGGAGACTGGTGACAGCAAGTACAGACCTGCTGGTCTCCTGCGTCGTATGGTGGATGCTGGTTGGCTCGGCAAGAAGAGCGGCAAGGGTTTCTATGACTATTAGGTGCTATGCGTGTCCGGAATGGAGAAAAAGCATTTCGATCAAGATACCCTTCCTGCATCATATTAATCTAGATCGCAATTTGCTGAGAATAAATATCGATTACCCGCCCTCGACCATCCTCTAAGCCTGACCCTCCCACCAACAAGGTTCACCTGCCGATTCCGCTTGCTCCATTGCAGCGACCACTGTATTAACATCAAGATCCCCATCTGTATCCAGGTCTTCATCTTCGATATCACGTAGGGGACATTCGCATTGGCCACGTTGACCACAAAGGTAACTTATTTTCCGATTAGCGTTAACATTTTGCCTAGGGTCTGCATGCGTGAACATACCAAAATGTATGCCCACACCTACAAATGATGTGGTTACATCCATCGACCTTCTCCACCAAATACAGGCAATTGGGGCATCTCTGCCAATTATTCTCCTTTGCCAGTTCCAACGTCGCCTTCGTCTCAGAGTCATGGCTACACGACCAGGCGAGATGGAAAAGGTCCCCGCACTTGGAGCAAACCTTTGCCCGGCAATGAGGACAAACACAATATCCTAACCGTACCTTTGAGCTCTCTCGGGGGATCCATCGGCCACACCTCTCCCGAGAACAATACAAACGTTCTAGGGGAGAGATACTATTCTCCTCCCACCGAATGATATAAAGCTTTTTGTTTCGAGAGCTCATCACCTCCATGAGTGCTTTTGCGGGGATTTCTTGGGAACAACATTTTGCAGGGAACATCTCTAGGCTGTTCAGGGCTATTGAGGACATTCGTCGGAGGCATGGGGGGCAGTATTGGTGTTCACAGGGAGCAGTTAATAATTTGCTCGTTGGGACCTTTTGGAAGCACCCTGTGCACCTGTGAAGGGTTAACGTATGGCTTTAAATTGGTTTTCGGTTGGTCTTGTGCTTTACTGACTGGCTCACTTCCTCAGTCAATTTCTTGGATACGAATACTCGCACCAAGTAGTCTGGGAGCTGTCGGATGGACGAGAGGCTCTTGGTCATTTTGCCGTAGCTTGGGTAGCAACTTTTGAGGTTGGTACTTGGCTCTTCAGAGGGACAAAGTGCATAGCCAGTTGTAAGAGTCCGGGCCTGAAAGACGTCCTCTTATGTAGAAATGCATGGTGCACCTCATCTTCCAGGCCATATATGGATAGGGCACTTAGCCATGGATGAGCAAACACTATTTTCTTTCTTGTTCCTGAACAGCCCATGGTTAATTATGGGATGACGGCTACGTTCTAGGGGTTGCTGTCTTGTAGTCAGTGTATCAAGTGGGCTTAGGCAAGCTCAACTCTTCTTGGGGGTCTGCTTTATTCGGTTGACTGGCAAAGCAATCATGGAGATGTCTTCGGAGTGCTCAAACTAAAAGCCCTAACATAGCGGTGAACAGGGAACAGGCGTGGATCCATGGATCTGGGAATTTCCCGAACAGGTAAAAACGCAGCTTATGCCAACATTAGAGCGAATAATCACATCGTAATGCGAGGACCACAGTGTTCTAGCCTTGAACTAAATTAATATTTGTTCCAAAAGATTTTGTACATTGACCATTGACACTAAAAAACTAGGGTATCACTAAATGCTATAATTGCTGTCGATTTCGGCCATCGTTAAAAACTCCTGTACTTAATCCCACAAAGACTGTTCAAGCGACTCGGACTTCATACAAGGCCGGCAAATCGTCGAACAGCCCATCCTGACCCGTATTCTTGATACTCTTGGCGAGTGATGGATACCTTGCTGAGTTCCTCTCTGTTTGCAGCAAGGCGAGTACCTCCTAGCCATGTTGCGTGAACAGGGCTACTAATGTCAGTACTTTCAAAGTCAGGATAACTAGATGAATGACTACTCACTCCTTAGCTCGGCGTACTCTCACAATACATTCAGCAGAGGCAATCTGTCGCAATTCGGTTTCTCTGTCAAAAGATATTTTGTTAGTAGAAACTTCAACCAATTGACTTTCGAGTACCCACAGTCTTTCCATGAATCCAGGAATCAAAGCATTTCCTCCGACAACGAGAACATTCGCCAAAAAGGCAGAGTGCAGGCCAGTGGGCAGAACCGACAAACTTTGAAGAATCATATCGGGTATACCGGCTGACTTCATACCAATATCTCCGGGGGTGAATAGAAGCTCGGGGACAGCAAAGCGCTCATTACCCAGCACTAGTACATCCTCCGACAACACCTCTGCGCTGAGCCCGGAAACCGCTCCTTTCTTCTTTTTGGCGTGAAGAAGAGGATCATGCGGTCGAATGAAGCCCTTCTTGTTTGCGTTCGGGTCTGGAAGCACATAGTCCAACACGATTCCCTCCTCGGGGCCACTCTGGCGCTTTCGGCCACTTTTCCATGCTTGTTCCAAGTCACCAGCAAAGTCATTGCTAACATAGCAGACCGCCTCTTTTACTTGGTTCATAATATATGACTCATCTACCATGTTGTATTGTCTCATTGACACAATCTCCTTCAGGTAATTTGTAAGGTGTTTGCCTCCGATATCGAGTCTTCGGATCCCGCGTTGAAGAGCATGGCCTTTGTAAACCGGAGTCACTGTGGTGTGCGAATAGCCAGAATCGACGACTAGTAAGCAATCTGCCGGCAAGATAGATGCGTCGGATGTATTGGAGAGAGGATCGCCGAAGAGGGAATGGATTTCGTTCCATGCGTTGAGGGTTGGACCTATAGACTTTTGGTCAGTATAGGATCATATGCGACACCAAATAATCGGACTACCGTACCCAAACATCTCGCATATCCCCCAAATCCCCATTCCTCCATAACCATCTCATCAGCGTGCCGTTGTAAAATGGGCAAGGCATTCGGTGCCTCAGTAAGTACAAGGGTAGTGTCTTCCGGATCCGCGATGTGATAATTCCGATTCCGAGCCGTCGGCTTCCCGTCAAAGAAAGACTGGTCCCAAATCTCTCTCTCGGCTTCCCAGTTCACAACATATCCTTTCTCCACTGGGCGCCGGAACATAGCCTCATTCCAGTCGTTGACCGTCGCTAGCTGTGCGCCGATAACGATCTTGTTATCGCGGGTTTTGACAAGAGCATTGGGTATCGATGAGCAGGCGGAAACACTTTCGTCGGAGGCCGGGGCATCAGAAGCGTACCCGGCTTTAATCATGTACGCGCCATTGTCGATAATAAAAGTCTTGTCGGGAAGATATCGCGACGTCTCCACAGGCTGTGTGGGTGTTGCGGGCGTCCTTGGAGGAGCACGAGCCTTTGCTGTTCCCATTATGGCTTGCAATGATGAACAAAAGCTTTAAGCTCGTCAAGCTAGGATGTAATGATGGTGTTTGTCTTGTTTGATATCGAAAATTCCAGCTTAGGTAATATGGTATTCGCCAGCCGCCTACCTCAAAACACTATAACTACATAGTAAATGCGATAGTTATACAACATATATTCTATAGTTACTCATATCTCAACGACCTCGTTTTAGTTTGAAATTATTATATACCGATAGCTATTGGTAAGGTTTTCAAATACTGCATATTAAATTCAAGGAAATCAATTAGCTTTATCATAATATTGAAAATTACGTTAGGGAAAGCTAGAAATATATATATCACAATCATAAAGCTATGGAATTTCTATAAACTCCCCTAAGAGGGTAGATATCACTAAAAAAAAGCATTAGGTTGCAAGGCAAGTGGCAAGTCCCAATAGTCTACTATTGTTGAGATATCAAGTTGTAATTTATCGCATTTACAGTGACTGTTCATAAACCTTAGAAGCCAACATTGATTATGTAATATTATGCCAGTCAAAAGATTTTCTTAAATTCTGTTGTACATCAAGACCTCTGGCTTTTAAAGATTGTCTACACAAGGCTAGACATTGTCTTAGGAAAATATATCAAAATATCCTGACATACGATATGAACTCGAGATAGATGAGGCCCACCAGTTCATTTTACGTAGACGGCATGGGCGATAAGGGAAGGCGGTATATGAGTGGGGCTAAACGGGATGTTAAAAATTATGAACTGTCACTGTACTATGGTGTTTTAAGGTAGGCGGCTCGTGTATGAAATACGTTATTATTACAGTGGTTATATGAGTGAAAATCAAGGTATCCCAAACCTTTTTTTTTGGAGTATCCCCGAGCTGGTGGCCCCGCCAAAGTAACTATAGGGCAAGGAACATTTTGACGATTGTCCACCCTCCGCAAGGGTTAAGCGGGTCTTCATCAGATAAACTTCCTATCTATATGTATTACATAGGTACACTGGTCTCGAAGCTAGGGGGTGAGATCTATATATCAATTATCAACTACTGAAGCGGACCGGTCAAATGTATATCCGAAGCGTTGCACAGTGTTGAAAACCCTCTCTATATGACAATATTGTCACGAATACCTCAATACAGAAGGCGGATGTACCGGTAATATCTCATAAAGTTTCCGGCCCCACCACCCGGCAGCTTTGAAGGTTTATAACGGAATACACGGGGCCTTGGAGCTGTCGTTAGTTGTACAGAAGTGAACCAAACCCGACAAAACGGGCTGTCGAAGTGACTCCACTGGGTCAATCCGGAGATCAATAGCTAATTTAGGACGAAACACCGAGCCCCTTCCACAACTCCCAGGATTTACCTGTTCCATACAGAGAACATTTACAAACATGTACGGAGTAAGAAAATATCGAGGGGCTAACTCGGCTAACACCCGTAGATAGCATAGTGACTTCTTCCCCCCCCCCCCAAAGCATATTGTAGATAAATCACACACTCTACCCGAAATTCACTGACTATTACAAAATGGCTGCGCTTCAAACTATCGAAGTTCCACACCTTGGCGGCATCAAGGCTGGATATGCCTTCTCCAAGGACCATTATGATCCTTCTAAGCCGACATGCGTGCTCATTAATTCGATGTGCATGACCGTTTCTCTCTACCATGATCAATTTAACAATGAAGTCTTGACTGATGCCATGAATCTTCTGGCCATTGAGCCATTAGGCCATGGCTCGACCAGTTCTCCCTCGGAACACTTTACGTACTGGGATTCTGCTCACATGGCTTTGCAGGTCATGGACCACTTTGGCATTCAGAAAGCCTTCGTCCTAGGGACAAGTCAGGGGGGGTGGATCGTGACTAGGATGGCCCTCCTAGCCCCAGACAGGGTAAGTTCACGCCCGGGGGGACCTCGGCAGTCAGTGAATTGCTGATTTAACCCCAAGCTAAGCTAAAAGAATAATGTTAACATATTGCTAGATCCTCGGTCTTATGCCCCTCGGAACCTCCATGGATTACGAATCCTTGGATTCTCGATCCAAGGGCTGCTGGGATCCTGCTGCCAATCTTACGGTGTTTCATGAGAAGTGGACCAGTTCCTCGACTACACCCGACTTTGTTGTGGATGACGTCTGGTGCGGACTGGTGGGGGGGATTGGCTTCGGTGCCGCAGCCACCGAAACGAGATCTGCATTCTGGACTCAGACCCTGAAGGAAGTGTATAAGGGCGATGAGGGCCGGAAAAAGGTTCGAATGGCGCTCAATTGCCTACTAGAGAGGGATGGGCTCCTACTTCGGATCGGAGATATCAAATGTCCTGTTTATTGGCTACAGGTGAGTCCTATGTTTACCGATGTACATGATGACTCATGATTAACAAATCGATAAGGGAACCGAAGACACTCCCTTTGGGACGATCGTTCCTGCGGAACACATTAAACGTTTTACCTCGTCTGTGGAGGCTAAACTTGTGATGATTGAGGGGGGTGCGCATTACCTGAATGCCACCAACCCAAAGGAGGTGGATGAGGCCCTTCTGGAGATGGTCACCAAGTACAACTGCTAGTATATCGCTATTGTATACTCCGTATAATTGCGAGGATATGCTGGAAAGCCACTAACAAACACCACTAAAGGAGCCTGTCAATAGCTCTAATATTCCATCTTATGTATGCTTTCTTGTTTTTTTTCAGTTTTCGTTCTCGTCTACTACATGTGTATCATATTTTCATTGTTTACTAGTGTACTGCTATAAAGTGGGCCTTTCGTATCTTTTCGTCAGAACCTTCCTAAAATGAATTATTCACAACCCCTACATCCACGTGGATACTATACTTTATGTGCTGATCTGCAAGTTACTTATTCGGCACTCAACGGTTCCTTAAAAGTTTACCTTATTCCGTGCATAATGATATATCCACGGATATTATTGATACATAGTATTTGGTCCAAACTAAGTGATACATATCAGTGATAAATGTCAGTGATAAATGCCAGTGATAAATGTCAGTGATACATAATATGGATTGATATCAGTGTAGAGAGCAAATGCCTAACCTGGCAGGGGCTAACTACCAAACTAAGTTCAGACTCAAAACGCCAAGCCTGTCATTGTCGATGAAATGTCCAATAGTGGAATTTTACGAGTCGTATACGGAGTATTCGACACACAATGGGACTTTGCTGTGCAGAACCTCTGCCGTGTATTCGTACTCTATACTCCGTATATAAGATTTTATTCCCTAACATTTGCAGGGTTTTATTTTTACCTTCCTAAGCCAAACCTCATGGAGAGCAATCAGGACAGTCTACAGCAATGGTCTATAGCCACTACAGCCTCAGTTACGGTGTTGGCCTTCGTGTCAGTATGTCTTCGACTACTCGCCCGTTATGAGCGGATGCAAAAGCTGTGGTGGGATGACTATATGGTTATCTTTTCTATGGTCAGTTCGATTCGTTCCCCCCCCCCCCCCCCCCCATTGAATCACAATCGCATAGTTTCTGATCAAACATAAGCTATGGAACTTCATCGTTGTCGGGTTCATCTTCGCCATGATTCAGAAGGGAATGGGACTTCATGCAAGCACCCTTCCCATGGAAAACGTGATCATGATCGCGAAATATCTTGTTGTGGCCGAAGTTCTCTACGTCTTCAACCTGGTATGGACCAAGCTGAGCATTCTGCTCATGTACTACCGGATCTTCCGCTTTCCTTACTTCAAGACATGGGCATACATCATTGGAATCTTTGTTATCCTTTGGGTTATCTGTATAACCTTTCTCTTCATCTTCATTTGCGTCCCCGTCCAAAAACTATGGTATCCCCAACTCCCAGGGCGGTGCATCAACCAGGTTGCCACATGGGTCGCCAACGCCGTCTCGACGATCGCAACCGATTTTGCTATTCTCCTCCTTCCGATCCCACAAGTATGGAAGCTTCAACTTCGAATTTCGGAAAAGATAGCCGTTTTAATTGCCTTTAGCTTGGGATTCTTGTAAGCGTTAACATTTCCAAGAACAAAAAGACCCTCAGTCAATCTAATTTCAACAGCGTGGTCTTCGCCTCCGCCTACCGTTTCTCGGTCCTCTTCAGCTACACTGCGCTTGATTCCTCCTACACTCTCGCCCCAACGGTTGGCTGGACCGCGATCGAAATGTCTGCCGGCATCGTTTCGGCCAACCTCCCCACCATCCGCCCTGCTTTTCGTTTCATAGCGCGCATGCTGGGTATCCACGGTAGAGTTATGGCTCTCTTCAAAAGTACAAACAGGACAACTGCCAAGAATTCGGACGCTGTCACTCAGCCTTCAGGAGCAGGGGAGTCCAATTCCACCATCCTGCAGCACAACAAGCATCCGAAACGACATTCTTTCTATCACCTACCAGATGATCCTAACTCAGTAGGAGAACAGGCACAAATAAATACCTCGTTTAGGCCGGACTATGATAAGGTGAAGATGTACACCAATGTGTTGGGTTCGAGGGTTGTTGATCATCCTGATGGGGATCAGATTCCCCTGACTGAGATTAGAGTCGACAAGGAGTTTACGCAGACTACGTGCTAAGGGGAATTATTCTTTGTATTATACTAGAAATTTGGATTTCAGTTAATGTCACAGGGTGTCATTACTTGTCTACTAGCGAGTCTTAATATATGCTTCGATGTATATTGTAGGGCAAAGGGTACAGTGGGCCTCTATAGCCCAGATCAGAAATAAGGCTGCTACTTGTAGATTGGTACATCTGATCAATTGAACAAGAGCATTTTACCTTTTACCGCGATCTAGATCGTCAAAATATCACAATTAGACTATCACCGTGCTATATACAATAGGAGGCACGTGATGGGACTATCGAGGTCGCTTACTCAGGTCGCTCAGGAGCCCCCTTGGTTTTACTGAAGAAGAATGAGCAGGGCAGCTTTACAGTACTGCATTGTTTCCATCAAATACAAGCCATGCATAGCTATTAGATAGAATTCGACATGTCGAGAGCTCCTCGCGACGCAATTCAAGGTAAACGAGGGATCCGCTATAAGGGTATTGGTACATGCTAGTAATAAACAATCATCATCTTTCGACTGAGAGGAAAATAAGAATAGCGAACCAAAATCATAATCATCAAACAGCAGACCAATTAAACAGCCCCAAGCTAACAGCTTTGACATGGAAATTCCAGGTGACCCCGCAGAGCCCTAATCAGCCCCGCGATAATTATCAGACCCAACCGCCCAAATTTTTTCTCTACTACACTCCCCTCCAACCCAACCCTGGCCAGCCCACGACTCTCACAATGTCCAAACAACTATCCCCCATCATCGGCACAACCCTAACCCTCATCGGCCAATTCCAAATAGCCCTCACCACGCCCCCAACAACCGGAACCGAAGCCGCAAAAGATGCCGAAGCTCTGCCCCTCCTAACGGCCTCCGCGAGCGCGCTCAAAGCACACGTCACGAAACTATCCCTGCTGGCCATTACCTCGCCCTTTACGCACTCCGCTGTCAGCACCGTGCTCCGTGAGCTCAATGAGTCCATATTGCCGTCACTCGTGACCGCTTCCCTTCTCGTTACACCTGCGCAATACACCAAAGCGTTTCACTCCGAGGTCTTGATTCTGGTCAAGACGGCTTTGACGGAGCTTTCGGCACTAGTTCAGGAGGTCAAGCTTGTTGGAGAAAAGAAAGATCAGGAGAAGAAGGATACAGGGAAGGAGAGTGGCGTGACGAAATCCGAAAAGGATGCTGTGATGCTCGCTACAGGCCGTGTCTGGGATGCGTGTGATGCTACGACCGATGTTGCGAATAAGGGGGTTGTTGGGTTTGTCATGCGCCGCGTTGAGCAGTGGAGGGACCTAGTTCGCGATGCGGTTGAGGAAATCGAGGATTGGGATCCGGAAGAAGGGGACGATGGTTTCTTTGATAATATTCTCGGTGATGAAGGGAAGGGTGGAGATGACGACGAGAACGAGGATGATGATGATGAGGAGGAGGATGACGAAGAAGAGACGGCTGCTCTCGAGGAACACAAGAAATCTACCCTTCGTTTCCTCAAGCCGATCGCTCAAGCCTACCCAGCTATCATCAACAACCGGTTGAAGAATGCCGGAAATACGCCGTTGGCTTCTCCGTCTGGTGTCAAGAAGCTGGAGTCCTTGATGCTGAATCTGCAAGCTATCCCGGACGATGTCGATGAGGCAGCTGGCGCGTTGTATGAGGCAAATTTCGAAACCTCTGCTGAGTATCTGCGGAAGACGAGGAAGTGTGCTACACAAGCGGTGGAGTTAGTCGCGTCACCCTGGGATGCTGCGGGTGTTAAGGACGATGCACCGGCAGACAAGTTCGCTACATGGTCGAAGACGTGGCTCAAGGTGATTGACGAGGTCAGCAAATCCATTGAGAAAAACTGAATGTAATTATCTGTCACGAAGCTGCAAAGAAGCTGATGATAAGATGACAAAAGCCCGGGAAAAGCATAGACAGCGATATTATGTATATGTACATAGAACAAACATGGTGATATTATACAAGCCTTTTTAAATGATGTCCTCCAACTAGATCTCATGACTTAGAACTCTTCTTCGGGAGCTTCGTATTCCCGCTCCCATTCCGGCAGGTCAGCAATGGGAATACGCTCTCGCAAGAATTCCAAGATCGCATCAGTTCCTTTGGCAACTACTTGCCAGCGAGGTACTCGGAATCGATTGCCGGCCACCTCAAACCGTCTCAAGGCGGACCCATTGCCCCAGTTCTGAGAAGAGCGTCCAGCAGCCAACAGGCCAATCTTCGGGGGAAGCGAGTCAAGGTCGTTGTTGCTTAGCTCCACGACCTGCAGCCCTTTTACGGCTTCGAAGTCCAAACTAGCGATCTGGTTGTCAGAGGCCACAAGGGTCTTGAGCTCTGGGTAAGTCTGTCTCAGATGGGGAAGTGGTCCCTTCAAACGATTGTGCGATACATCCAAGAAGGTCAAAGATGGGACTATCAGGTTGGACAAGAGAGGCTCCCATGACGTCAAGCCGCTCGCATTTAAAGTCAGCGACTGAAGCTTTGGCAACTCAAGCGGGGAAGACAAGAAGTCAGCGCCATTCAAGGGGTTGTGTGAGAGATCAAGCTCAACCAGAGACTGCGCGAGCATTTCAATGGCGCGGGCCGGGAAACAGCTCAACTCATTGTGCTGCAAATAAAGACATCGAATGTCTAGCGATGGAACCATCTCCAGCTGTTCAACCTTGAGGTCGGTCATTTCGGCATAAGACTTATCAAGAATCCCACCGGACTTAATCTGCCAGCTGCCATCGAGCGTGGGACTCTCGGGCGCTAGAGTGAATTGGGTGGCCACTGAGCCCTCGTCATCTGTGTCCTGAGGATCAGGCTCACAGCGGCTCCGCAAGTCTTGTTTGATATCGTCCGTGTCCATTCTTAGAAGCCTGCGCTCACGAAGCGGGTTATTGGAAATCCGCAAAGAGGCAAGGTTTTCCATTAAACCAATCTTCTCATCCAAGACCGTGAGGGAATTTCCTGTGAAATCGGCCTTCTTGAGGTTCTTGAGCTCCACAAACCCTTGTGGAAGGTCTGTAATTTTGTTTTCCTCGGCAGACAGCGTTAATAATGACTGCCAAGAAGTCACGCATGGGAGATGAGTGATACGATTGACACCGATCAGGAGAGTATGTAAATCAGGAATTTCAAGCACGTCATTCGCGGAGAAGACCACCACAGCATTGTTGGCGATATTCAGGAACTGCAGTGTCTCCAACTTGATTACTGATGCCGGTATCAAAGTGCCTTCCAGCTTGTTCTTCTGCGCATTGAGCGTTTTCAGGGGAAGTTTGCAAAGGATTTCGAACGGCAAAGAAGTGAACTTGTTCTCACTAACATCCAATGTTCTCAGAGAACTCAATCCAACGAGCTCATCTGGAAGCTTGGTGAGAGCATTCCCACGCAGATCCAAAAACTCCAAGTTAGGAAGACAACCAATGACTGGAGTTAGTTCCCCTTGCAGTTGATTGTTCGCAAGTTTCAGATCGGTCAGAGACTTTATCTCTGCGATTATCTTGATATTGGCCATGTCCAAAGAATTATTCGACAGATTGAGCGTGCGTAAATTTTGCAGACGTCGAAGACCCATTGGGAGTGACTTAAGTATATTACCATGGAGATCCAACGTTTCAAGGCCCCCGAATTGAAGTCCTCGGTCATCGCTATCAGGGTCGAACTCCTCGGGGTTGATATCGGGGAAGGTGGCATCTGAGATCTGTTCCAGCTCATTGTCCGCGGCATTAAACTTGACAAGATCAACATTTTCGAACCAGTTCGCGGAGTTCTCTGGGTCATAGTCATACATCGCCAGCACTTCTTTTGGAATTTCCTTTAAAGAAAACGCCGCGATGTTCAACTGGCCGGTCGCACGTGCTGTCTGTAAACGCTTTCGCATCACCAAAGAGTTGGACTCCACGGGCATTTGGCCGAATGGATCCTCATCATCGCCGCCTGCCCACGAATCAAGAGTCGCATCGATTGGTGAAGCCTGGTAGACCTGCTTTTCAAAGCTCTCCTTTTTATCTCCAGCCGCTATCGCCTTGCGGGCAGCCTTTGCCTTTGCTATAGTCTCACGTAGGGTACTGGATGATTTTGAGACTTTTCTAGCTTCAAGTTCTGCTTGTTTCTCCGGAGACAGGTCATCAGGCATATTGGAAGAAGCAGACACATATCTTGAACCCGTCGAGGGAGAGCGTAGGGTCGACACCTGCCCTGCTTGGGCTTTTCTTGTTTTCTTAACTTGAAGAGGTCTTTCTGGGGGACCCATGTTTGATTTATCAGGCTTTGTGGAGGCCTTGCCGGGTGATGAGCGGATAAGCGAGGGTTTTGGTGTATTCTTGTTGCCAATTGGTCTTTCAGGTATAATTTTCTTGGGCGGCGAGCTGATGTCCGTAGGGGCACCGTCTCCCGGTGCAATACTTTGTCTAAGTGACGGCCGCTTCAATCTTGATGGGCTCACGCTGTCCTCCGAGGCGCGGACTGGAGAAAGAGATTCAGTAGTCGACATACGAGCCTTCGAGGGAAGACGCAGCTTCGAAACTGGCTGTGTATATAGCTCGTTGCTAGACGGTGCGCAAGATGATCCCCTCGATGGCGGTCTCGACACGTTGGAAACATTGGACGGGGCGCGAGATGGCGACCGTACCGGGCTGCCACCATTGAAAAAGCTGGACTGCCTTCTCACCGAAGCCGGTGATGGTGGAATTTGCGCTAGCGTCTCAAGTGTACGTTCGGACAAAGATGGGCGTATTCCACGGCGACCGCGCGATTCCTGGGCCGATGCAATTGATGCAGTGTCGTCATCCCCAACAGTCGAGCCCGCCTCTTCTGGAACATGTGTGTCGTCTTCCCCGCCTTGGACATCGTCTTGCTTGAGGGCCGGGATAGGGTCATCCTGCGGCTTAGGTGGTGACAAATGGTGCGAAGATGGCTTTTTCACGAGCGTATTGTAAGATGGTCTTCGCAACCTCCTTTCGTCCAGACCAGGATCGGCTCGTAGTCTGTCTCGGGAAGGTGAGGGTTTGATCG